TGCCTGGAAAATCCCATGGACTGAGGATCCTGGTAGGCTACAGTCCATGGGGTCGCAAAGAGTCAGACACGACTGAGCAACTTCACTTCACTTCTAAAGCTGAACATACAAATATATCCTATAACTTAGCAATTTCAATTCCCAGGTACACCTCAGATATATGCATTTATGGCAGCATTATTTGTAAATAACAAAAAACTGGAAACCTAAATGTCCACCCATAGTAGAATGGATAAATTGTGATATATAATGGAATATCACATAGCAATAACTGAAAATACTATAACCAGAAAGAAAAATATAGATAAATCTCACAAGTATATTTTAGTACAAATGGCGTCAGCCACAACATATGCATACTTTTTGTGCATTCCATGCTGTTAGAAATTAAGATAGTGGGTTATTTTCTAATAACAGGACAGGTTGTAACTGGGACAGGGCCAGAGAGTAATGATAGAAACTTTTCTTCGAATTTTCATGAGATAGATGCATTCACTTCTGATAACTCATTGAGCTGTATACAATTTTGTGTACTTGAGAATTGTTAACTTTCTTTTTTTTTAACCAGGATGGTAAAAAATAGTTTCATTAGGAATCAAGTCTTCCCTGTGCTTTTCACCTTAAGTGGGGGAGTTTGAATCGATACTACCAATTTTCCAAAATGGCTCTACCAAGTACATTATCATCAGCAAGGCATGAGTAGAAGTTGCTCACAATCACTTGCCATCATATTGTAACTGGCAGTACTCCTCAAACTTTACATGACTTATCTGGAGATCTTGTTTAAAAAAACAGCTTTTTTTCCAGGAGGAGTCTAGGGTGGAACCCGTGAGTCTCTATTTCTAGCAAGCTTCCAAGTGATGCCCACACTGCCTGCCTATTGACTGCACTTTAAGTAACAAGGACCTTGGGTAGTCTTTCCAAACTCTATTCCTCAAACAGTAATGCTTCACATTATCATCTAGAGACAGTATTAAATGTTAATCAAAATTTACTTTTAAAAATAATACTAAGCACTTCTAGGTTCTTCTTATTTTGTGATGATCCATTTTTAAAAGTAAGAGTATCATATACTTATTTTTAGTAAAACAGGTAAATTAAAACAGTAAATGCTCAAAAAAATATACCTATGTGCCAGGCACTGACATACTACATTAAATCCAAAATATGCCAGGAAGTGGCAGGAAACATCACATGATGATGACCAAACATATTTGGCAGCTTGCTGGATAAATACCACTTACTGACTGGCATTATGTATGTTGGACTGTCTACTACAGGAGCCAACCAAATTTTTCAGTATAGGGTCAAATGGTAAAAATTTCAGGCTTTGCAGACAAGGGTCACAACCACTCAACTCTGTAGTATGAATGTAACTATAGATATATGAGTGATGGCCATAGTATAGTCTACTAAACAGATCTCTGGATTACTGGATCATTGATACGTACCTTGATCCATGACATGTATCTTGCTTCAAATTTCCACTTAATGTGTTATCTGAGAAATCATTTGTTTCCTTTTCTGTTGAAACTTTCAGAAGTTAGTTTTAACACTGCCCAATAATCCATATACATATTTTATCTCAGGAACATCATTTTGGTGCTGTTAATTGTTATTCATGGTTATTCGTTAAGTAACTTTTAAATTGTATTCTAAGGACAAGAGTCCCAAAATAAATGATAAATGGAATGATAATATGGACGGGGGGCTAAGTGTTAATATATAAATTGTATTCTTAAACCATACACTGCTAGTTGAAGCATGCAAAACTAACACTGCACTAGTTTTGTGGGACTAGTCATCAATCATATTGCTGGTGTACAAATTGCACGGAAAATATGTATCTGAATTTAGACTGGATATAGCATCTAGTCATGCCGAGTCTGTACCATAAGGTTCATCTACTGTTTTACATAAATTTATGTTCCTCAGTCACATGGAAAATAAAAAGTGAGTTTTAGAACTAAAGACCAAATTCTTAGCTATTAATTAGAGTAGGCTCTGCTAGCTCACACCTTAGGTTCAGAAAGCCACAGTGAAGCCTCCCATTTATGAAAGTTTAGCCTACTTGGCCATGAAACAGCCTAAGCAAAGCCTAAATTTCCTCTTTGTGTGTGTGTTGGGGGGGGGGGGGAGTAGATATTTTCTGTTTTTAAACATTTTCATTGCAGCATAAATTCATTTACAACGTTGTGTTCGTTTCAGCTGCACAGCAAGGTGAATCAGTTAAACATATATCCACTCTTGTTTAGATTTATTTCCCATATAGGTCATTACATTAAATAGTTTCCTGTGCTATATATACAGTAGGTCCTTAGTAGTTATGTTTTATATACAGTAGTTCCTTGATGAATTCCGTATTTGGGGAAACAAGGGACTTGACTGTGTGTGTGACACTGAGACAGAGTTCAGATACTGGTTCAAAGGTACTAGTCACCAATAGGAAATGAAAAGCTTTGAAGAATGACATCAGCCAGTAAAATTCCAATCTAGTACCCCGTCTGGTCACTCTCTGGGATTTGGCCAAATCAGAAACACTGACAGCCTATATGATTTACCAAGTATGAAGAGGGGAAGGAAAATGCCCATCTTAATCAAACTGCAGTTATAGAAATTATATCGGCAGTGATGGTTGTAGGCAGAGATTAAATAGCTAAAGTACAGCACTTTTGTCTTGCTCCAAGGCAGTGAAGAAGACCAAGATTAGGGAAGCTGGGCTGCAAAGCACACCTTGGTATAGCAGATTAACCAGAATATCATATTTACAGGTCTCCCCTGATTGAGATTTGAAACACAGATCACTAAGAATATTCAGTATACTGGACTATGACTTTTAAAAAATGGGTATAATTGCATTAACAGATGAACATACCTCTGAAAGCCACAGGGACAAAAAAATTACAGGCTTAAGTTTAACATACCTACCAATAGCTTACTACATTTCTTTGAAGTTGTTCCCTTAACTTCCATATAAAGTCTTCACTTCTCTTGAATGCTGCTGAAGATGAAAAAAATTGTAACCAAAAGGAGAATTCAGAAGTATATATCCTCTTTCCATTTTTAGATATATAATATTTGGCTTTCTTCTGTTATGCCTTTAAATAGTATTTATCATCATTAACTTTTGATAAGCATTTGCTAAATTGACTTTTAACCACAAATAAGGCATAACTTTACATAAGAAAAAATAAAATTTTAAATTTATAAAATACATAAATTAGAAAGTGATTACTCAAGTATTAAAGCATTATTTCCTTTACAAAAGCCTTCCTCTAATGATCATCCCTAGGACATTTAGAATTCAGCTTACACTTGTCTTATTTCATTTTAAATTTCACCTACAGATTTTCAAACTCTCCCTCAAATTTGCTATAACCACTTCATCAAGTGTAATTATTAATACCTGTATTCTAAAGTGAGCTTTAATAAAATGTTTCTATTATAATTCTATCATTTTTAAGTCACCTTAAGTCATGACCAACCTAGACAGCATATTAAAAAGAAGAGACATTACTTTGCCAATAAAGGTCCGTCTAGTCAAGGCTATGATTTTTCCAGTAGTCATGTATGGATGTGAGAGTTGGACTGTAAAGAAAACTGATTGTTGAAGAATTGATGCTTTTGAACTGTGGTGTTGGAGAACTCTTCAGAGTCCCTTGGACTGCAAGGAAATCCAAGCAGTCCATCCTAAAGGAAATCAGTCCTGAATATTCATTGGGAGGACTGATGATGAAGCTGAAGCTCCAATACTTTGGCCACTGATGCGAAGAACTGACTCATTTGAAAAGACCATGATGCTGGGAATGATTGAAGGCAGGAGGAGAAGGGGACGACAGAGGATGAGATGGTTGGATGGCATCACTGAATCAATGGACATGAGTTTGTGTAAGCTCCGGGAGTTGGTGATGGACAGGGAGGCCTGGCGGGCTGCAGTCCATGGGATCACAAAGAGTCAGACACAACTGAGTGACTGAACTGAACCTTAGGTCAAAAAATGCCTTCAAAACATTTTCCAAAATATGATCTCTTGCCACAATAAAGAACGAGTGTGGTTACTCTACATGGGAAGAAAAAAATTTCCTTTAAATATACATGCTAGAAGCCAGAATCTTTCACTTGGTATTGTCAGTCTTTCTAATTTTAGCAATTCTGGTCTCCACAGAATGGTACGTCTCATTGCAGTTTTGCTGCTTATTTTAAAATCTTTTTTCCCAGCTTTATATTTCAAGCAATAAAATTAATTCAAAGACAATTTTATTTTTAGAGATTGCATACAGAATACAGAACACTCAAGGCACAGAACACAGCCATTCCCCCAAGAAGTTTCCTCATGTCCTCAGATTCCATCTCCTGACCACAGCTTCAAGGCAATCGCTGATCTTCCTTCCCTCACTGTAGTTTTCTACTTATGGCTTTATTATTTATTTTTTGGTTGCACTGGGTCTTTTTTGCTGCATGTGGGCTTTCTCTAGTTGCAGAGAGTGGGGGCTACTCTCTAGTTGCAGTGCGTGTGAAGACTAAAATCTTCTATCTTTCATAGATAACAGTGGTTTTTTTTTGCCTCTAAATGTTATCTCACCTTCCCTTCTAACTTTCTTCTAATCATGTGTCCTAAAAAAATCAGAAAGCCAACTCTATTCTATTATTTAAAAATAAAAGACATTCTAATTAAAAACCTGAGATCTTTTCTAAAATATGTGCACATTTTAGCAACCAGATGACCTATACACACTTACTTCCTATACAAACAGATATGTAAAATCACCTGTATTTCCTAACAGATGCAATAAAAGCAAGTCCTGCAACAGTTAAATATAAGTAAACCAAAGATCTAACTTACAACATCTATCTACATAAACACAAACAAAAACCACAGCATCTTTCCTTGGCTCCTCACTGGGCCCATGCCTAGGATAAAAGAAGCTATTATTAAAAAGAAGCTATTATGAAAAGAAGCTATTATTTAAAAGCCTTAAAAAAGTAGGCAAGTAAACTTATTGTTGATATGTTTTCTTTATTGAATTAAAATTATACCAGTACAAAATAACAATGTATACACAAACGGATTTGATGCAACACAGTATATACAATTATCTTTAAAAAGTCATGACAAGTTACAATGATTATGAATATAAAATTTATATTAAAATATTCTCCATAAGTGATTTATTTGACTGTTTTGGTTCGAAGTCGTCGTTTGAGAATCTGATGATCGCTTTCTTTCTCTTTATGGTCCATCAAAATCTGAAATTAACAATTTCACACATTTTTATAAGTGAAAATAAAAGTAAAAATGAAAGCTTACTTACAATTAATAAGATATGTTCATATTTCAGTGTTTAATAAACTGAAATAATAAGTACATGACAGTAATTTTTGTCCTCCTGGACTGCAGTTACACTATCTTCTATAAAAAAAGCATGCCTAAGGCAGTAGACTTTATAAAAGATTCTTACAACACCACCTCATTCTAAAATTAAAGAAATCCATACTTTTACTGAGTTCCGGACATACATAGCTTGAAATAATAACTAAAATATTTTGAGCCAAGTATCTCAAGTAATTTTAAAGAAATTATTTTTTGCAATAACAAGTAGAGCATTATTTTGCAACTAAGAAAAGAAACAATTTCAGCTAAGGGAGAAAATCATATACTCATCAGACAGATGGAAAAAAGTAACCAAGAGAACAGCACTTGGAAAAGCAAGTCCTAATGACCCTAATTCTTTACCCTAATTCTTTACTACTTGCTTCAAGTGTCTATCTTTTATCTGACAGCTACTGTCACAAAAAGGTCTCTCCTGATTTTTCTTGGCCACTTCCTGTTGAAGGCTTTTCCTTTAATTACTTTCCTATCTTCACTTTTATCCACTAGGTAAATGCAAGCATGATGGAAAATTAGAACTTTCCCTGTAATAGAACAGCATGTTCTGAGTAAGGAGAATGAGTCACACAGTCAGGGTGACAAACTAGTCTTTTCTTAAGAGAACATGGAAGTCTTAGAGGGAAAGTGAGAGGAAATGACTGAATGTCAAGTCTTTATTTTAACCAGGCAGACTTAGGCCCAGATTTGTACAACTCTTATGATAAAGATAACATGAAAAACAGATGTTAGAAGCCAATAGATTATTAAACAGTGATAATTCTATTGATGGAATTAAAATTCTAAAATTCTAATGAGTTTACAAATGCAGATGCATGTGACACTTGTATACATTAATGCAGCATTCACATTCAATTACTATAAACTTAACACATTCAGTACCAACAGTATAACTTTTAAAGCAAGTTTTACAAAACTCGGTGTACAGAATAAAAGATTCAAACCACTATATAATTCAAATTTTAAGAGTACTTCAGAATTAAAAAGAACATAAAGAGTTTTACTTTTAAGAGAACTGAAATCATAGCTTACCACTTGGCCAGATATATCAATAGGAGATGAAATTTCACTTGTGTATAATTTTCGTTTGGCCCGTTTTGGTCGAGACACATTTTCTTTACTTACTTCTACATTCGAGAACTTTGAAGAGCTCATCGTTTCAATTATCTTCTTTGCTATGAAAAAAATTTATCAGTTAAATCCTGAAATAATTTCCTAATTGCAAATATTGTAAATCCTTAATAAAGAGCCATATTAAAAAGCACTGCAATTTATAAATGGTGAAAGGACATGAATAGAAAACAAAGAAATGCCTGATAAATATATGACTTAATGATCAACAGCAAAAATAGAAAGGCAAATAAAATATCACTTCACTAAAGTTCAACATATTGTAAAGGTTGAAATGTTGTAAATTTGGTAAATTTATATATTGGTAAAGTATACTACCACCAGTAAAACTCAGGCATCTTTAATGACTTGGAAGAGGTTTATACTACATTTACGGAAAAGATCAGTACACATACACAGTGGACTATGTAGCATTAAGAATAATAAGGTGGCAGAGCAAGTTCAGTATTCACATGTAAAGATGCCCACATGAATATTAAGTAAAAGTAACTTGTAATTGTGAGCCACTTGTAATTGTGAGCCATTTACTTCCAGTTAAAAAACACATGCACACAGATACATAGATTAAAAGACAGAAACCAAATTTTTAACAGTTGATCGTTTCTCGGAAGTTTAAAAAGAATTTTTCAATTTCTTACTTTGTACATCTGCCTTATTTATTTATTTAAACAGACACATACTGATTTCAGCAGAAAACATTTCCATTTGGGAAAACTTATGGATATAAAATCCATATATATATATATGATATCAAAACAAAATTTTTTTTTAAAGAAAACATTTAAGGAAATATGCAGAATTAAGTGTCTATCTGTCAAGGGCTGAGCTGAGCCTAAGAGCTGAGCTGCCAAATGTCTGAGTAGCTAATTAAGACAAGTCAACATGAAAGTTAAAGCCTTTAACCTTCTACTGCAACTGAACAAACAAGAGGCTAAACTGAGAACATACCAACTCCCACCCTGTTCCACACTCCCCCATGGAATAATGCATGGTCTGGGTCAGATGGATCAGCACAGAAGTGGTGGTTCTATCATTGTCAAAAGGCTCCTGCACTTGCAGTTTTATGGACCTTGGTGCTGGAGACCAGAGGGGAGGGCGAGGACTAGAAAAGTAGTCCTTCTCCTTCCCCATCATAAGGTCTTCAGCAGAGACTCCTGAGGACATTCTCTACCAAAGGCACTCAATTAGGAGCATCCAAATGAAGGCCCCTAGGCTAGGAATTCCGTGGTGGCTCAGTGGTAAAAGAATCCGCCTGCAATGCAGGAGACCTAGGTTCAATCCCTGGGTCAGGAAGATCCCCTGGAGAAGGAAATGGCAACCCACTCACTATTCTTGCCTGGAGAATTTCATGGACGAGGAGCCTAGCAGGCTACAGTCCATGGGGGCCACAAAGAATTGGGCACGACTGAGTGACTAGTACACACACACAGGCTAGGAATGCAGATATGTGTAAGAGTATGGCCAACAGGAGACCTGAGTCCTTGACTGACTAACTCCCTTCAAAGACTGGAATGCACTGGCTGTGTATCATGTTTGACGTGGGAAGGGAAGTTTTCCCTTATGAGGCCTAACAGGTTAAACTTTCGTAATCGCCCATGGTCAGCCTGAAACAAATCACACACAGGATTTTAGGTTGGAGCCTCAGAATCCCTCACTACTATGTGCAAACCACTGTACTAAGAGCCAAAGATGGAAACAAGACAGACATGCTGCACTTGTACAGCTTATATCCTACTGGGAAAGGCAACAAGAAAACAAAAAATTACAGGCTTAAATAATTTGTACTCTGAAAAGATCACTCTGGCTGCTATGTACTGAATGGATAGGAGATAGGAGTAAGGGATAAATGGGGAGACCAGTGATACTGAGTAATGGATTAAGAGTAGTTATCAGAACAACAGAATTTTAAGAATTAGCCTCTATTTTCTTTTTTCCCTTTATTTCCAAGTGATCAACAACAGACATGTACTGCTGTTACAATCCAAAACATGGAATCTTTATATTCCTAGAAAGGAGTTTTTAAAAAAAAACCCACACCGGGTATATAGTAGGGAAGCTGTTAAGCTAAATCAACCAACTCAGGAAGTCATTACCATCTGGGTACTTCCCTCTACTTGAAAACATGTTTCCTTTTAATATATAAACCATATATTCATTGCTTTTTCTGGCTATATATTATTTATATATCAAAAGGAAATATGTTTTCAAGGAGAGGGGCTTCCCTCGTAGCTCAGTCAGGAAAGAATCTACCTGCAGTGCAGGAGACTCAGGTTCAATTCCTGGGTCAGGAAGATCCCCTGGAGAAGGAAATGGCAACCCACTCCAGTATTCTTGCTGGGAAATCCCATGGACAGAGGAGCCTGGTGGGCTACAGTCCATGGGGTCACAAAGGGTCGGACACAACTAAGCAACTAAATAAATATAAACAATGGTCAATATAATTAAATAGAATACCTAAGAACCTAAAATAACAAGTCTCACCTCTCCAAATTTAGACATTTAACAATTTGCTGTTTACCTCTCCAGATATTTTCTATGCTTATACAAACGATACCTTTCAAAGAATGTATACTATTAAATATATATATATACACACAAATGGATCTAAGTCTGAAGTTCCCAAACTGTGCACCAAGGCATGCTGAAGCAAATTCACAAGAGCAACTTGGAATATTTATTTCTAAGGAAAACAGTGACACTCAACTCAGGATAGTTCAGAGTTTCAAAAAGGTATCAAATATCCTTCCTTTTGATGGTGACATATTTTAGCAACCTGGATTTTCAGAAGCTAAATTTTCAGGGATTGTTTGCCCTTAAGTATTAATGGATGGGACTATTTAGGTGTTTCTTTGGGTGCATGGATGCACTGAAAAAAATTACTGACACATTAAGGGCACTGTGAACCAAGAAAGTTGGGGAAGCTCTGTGGTTAAGTTTTTACACAAAGTATTTTTACATAACCAACGTGACTCAATTCAACTGTCCCCTTGTTTTTAGTCACTTTCCCTCCTCATTCTCCCCACCTCTAGTCTCCAATTTATCCTACCACCACCACCACTCAGGTAATTCCATGAAAACATGAAAACTCACTCCTTCCTGCCCCCTTCCTCCTAATAATCTCTCCACATTCTAGATGCCAGATGCATACTGCTACCTAGAACTGCCTACACAAGTCCTATACTTTCCGGGTACTCTACTTATGTTAAAACTGTTCTTTCTGGTAGATGTGTATATAGAGAGAATATGTATCTTAGCACATATTAATACCAGGGTATTAATATGTCTACATTATAAAGAAAAAAGCATTAAGCAACTAAACTTAATAGATATTTAAAGAAATATGTTTTTGATATAGTACATAAGATTAGGTAATATTTATCCATGCAGAGGAAAAAAGCACTAAAATATATACCATAATACTAACAGTGGTTACGTCTAGGAGGTATAATCTTCCAGTATTTCAATACCCAAGTTAAATCCCATCTCGTCTATTAATATCAAATCTTCCCATAGCCCCCAACAGTTCTTTTCCTCCAATACTACCATAGCTCTTTCCTTGTATCTCTACAACGCATTAAGCAGTCTACATGCATACGTGCTAAGTCGCTTCAGTTGTGTCTAACTCTGTGTGACCCCACAAATGTAGTCCTCCAAGCTCCTCTGTCCATTGGTGTCTCCAGGCAAGAATAGTGGAGTGGGTTGCCATTCCCTTCTCCACAGAATCTTTCCATCTCAGGGATGGAACCCATGTCTCTTACATCTCTTGCACTGGCAGGCAGGTTCTTTACCACTAGCACCACCTGGGAAGCTCCTCTGGATCAATTATTTATATACAGATTGCTCTCTTCCACCACACAGTGAACACCAAGGCACATCACACTCTCATGTTTCCTCCCTCAACACCTAACACAGAACAGTGTCTACTGGAGAAGAGTCACTGTGGCTGAGCTTACGCCAGTCAGACATTAGAAAACACCACGCATCTGACATAAAGGGCCATCTAATTAACAGTCTGCAAACCTTTGGACTGAAGAATAGTCGGAGAGTGTTGTAAGAAGTCTCCAAATTTCTGCAGCGTTCCTTCTTTTTTCTTAGCAGACCCATTTACACCAATTGTGGATGCGTGACTCCGTAAAGAGTAAGTTTTCTTAGATGATGGGCGTATAGAAACCTAAGAAACAAACATTTTTTTTTTCGTTATTGGTAATGAGGCATGCTAGAACAAACAGTTATAGCCATAGTTGAATTAAAGAGGCCAGACACAAGTTATAAATTCTCAGGCAGGGAACTTGGGGTTAATAATATAAGGAGAGGGATGAAAGGGCCAGAGAATGAGTGTGATAAGAATGCTAAGACAGAGATGAATACATCAAGAAGTACCTGCTACTTGTCAAATGTTAAAGGTTGTGTATTCTAAGCTGAATTAGATGAATAGAAAATGGAATATAAATGAGTTATAATTGGACAAAACTCAACTTCTGAATAATTACTAATCAAATTTGACATTTTTATTTTCATCATCTACTTCACAAATTTAACTTATGAAAATGGTCAATTTTGGACAAATTATAAGACAAACCTTTTGTTCCTTTTTGACAGAAGAATTTCTATGCTCAGAAACAGGGGACTTCAAATTAGTTCTTGGTGTAGCATTCTTCTTATTTTCAAATTTCACAAAGTCCTAAAAATAATGAAGTTCAGCACGGATTAATTTCTTGACAACATATTCTTTCTCTCTCTAGACTCCAGAGGAAGAAAAAAAGAAAACAAACAAACAAAAAACCAAGTAAACAGTTCTTAACCAGAAGCAATTCTGTCCCCAGGGGACACTGGCAATGTCTGAAGATATTTATGGCTGTCATTGCTGGGGATAAGAGGCAAGTTTAATGGCAACTAGTGGGTGGAGGCCAGGAATACTGCTAAAAAACACAACGTACAGGTCATTGAACTCTTCAAAACAAAGAAATATCTGGCCAAAAATGTCAATCATGCTAAAGCTGAGAAACCCTGACTGAAGGTACACCTTTTTTCTCACAATTTGTTCACCTTCAGTGAATATTACTGATATATAACATACGTAGGTTTAAGTGCAGTGTGATGACATAATACATGTTTTTATTACAAAATGATTGAAGGTATATTTTTTCACATGCATCATAATGAAATTACATTAGTTAAATGAAGAGATAATATCTTTTGAGTCCCATCTTTAAAATACAACATAGTAATATATCTACCCTTTTCCCAACTCCCAAATCATGTTGAGCATGACCTCTATTTGGTACTTAGCAACAATGAAAACAAAACAAAAATCTTCAGTGTAAGCACAGGTACAAAATGATAGTGAAGAAATAAAATCTGCCTTCAGTACTAAATAGGCATGACATCTTACTCTTTTTCCCCACATAACCTTACTTAAGACAAAATCTTTCGTAGTGTATTAACTGAATTGAACTTGTGAAAATCCTAACTGTGCTAAACATGATAAGCATAAAAGGGGGGAAAAAGGCAAGAACAGAATGAGAGAGAAGATCATGACTGAACCTCAGAATTCAAGTTACAAAGTAAAGTCATAAGGATGACAAGAAGCAGATTTTCTAAAGAGAGGAAAGACAGATACACAAGGAAAGCAAAGGAAGAAAATATGGTAACTGCATCACACTTGCTGTTTTCAATAGAGCACTTCAAATTTGGAGTCTTCATGAGAGTAGAATACAGCATTGTATAAATTATTTTCCTGAAGACTTCACAACACTGTTTACTACAGCAGTAAAGAGCCTAGCTAAATCAGTTAAAATTTTTAAGTTTCTACATGGTTTACTTACAACAATCTGTTGTTGTAATTCTGAAATGGGGAGTATATACCAGCAGTAAAATGAATAAAATAACTGTCTCTTAACCCTCGGAGTACACAGTCAATTTTTCCTTTTCCCTTGAAAAAAATGAATCAAGTCGACATAGCTGTCAGTCACTATGTTAACAGATGATGATGAAATCAAACTACTTAGTAGAGTTGACCCTTGAACAACACAGGTTTGAAATGCATGAGTCCACTTATACACTGATATTTTTCCATAGTAAATACTATTCAAAGTACACTCTGTACTTTGGTTGAATCCACGGATGAGGAACCTCACACTCCCAGAGCCAACTGTACGTTACACAAGATTTTTCTGCACAATGACTGGCACTGGGCCCTCATGTTGTCCAAGAGTCATCTGTATCTTAATGGTATCTAAGTGTATTAAATATAGAATAAAAGTTAACTAAGGCTCTCCAAAACAATTTTTAAGGTGTTCTACATGTAGCAAGAAATATGCTAAATAATATTCATTCATCAAATGTATTACCTGACAGAGAGCCTCAGGAGTATGTTTAATATTATTTCTGTTCTTCCACCAGCTTGAAAATACACTACTCTTTAAAGAAGTGAAAAAGACAAGTTGGAGAAAAAGTTATTGTGCTAAAGAGTTTTAAACATAAATATTGCTTTTAACATAAATATTGTCATTTATTATGTACCTATTACAGGTGGAACAAAAGCAAAACATTTAAAACATATTATATCTAATTCTTTATTTCAAAAGGAGGAAAGTGAGAATCAGAAAGTTTATGTGACTTGCTGAACCTACATGACTAGAATATGATAGAAGGTTGGTAACCCCACAATCAGAAAGCAAGAAGTAAAGAAGTAAATCATTTTTGGCCTACCACTAAATAAGATCCAAATTTTCATACTGACTCACAGATAAAGAATTTCTCTTCTGAAACCTACTATGATCATAGAGACCTAAGATTTTAACTAAATCACAAGGATTATATTCAAGCAAGTTAGTGATTTCAGTTTCTCTAATTCCTTTATCCTTAATCCCTTTTCTATTCCAAACGAGGGAAAGTGCCTAAGTATGAACGGAACTGGAATACTGAAATCGCTTTCTACTAAAATTCACCACCATTTGACCTATCACAGCTTCACTGAAACAAGGAAATCTACACATTTTAAAATCCTCAAGCTTTGTTTGAGGACTATTTACCACAGCAACATTCTTAACAGTATTAAATATACTGTAAACTATGACTTTGGGTTCTAACACTAGTGCTTATGAACAGGAGGGCAATGTAACAGAGTTTAACTATATAGATGAACTTAATAATAATAAAACTTACTTGTTTAGTTCACTTAATAGTTAAGTATTTACCTCTTCCATTTCATGACTCTTCCTCTTTCGGGTCTTGGGAATCTTAACCGTCACTGGTGAGGTACAACCTGGGTGTTTCACTGCCATTCTGTTTGGCTGTAAAGGTGTAAATTGAATCTCTAACTCAGGTTTTGGAAATCGAGTGCTTTGATTATTTTCTGTTGACACTTCACAAGAGTCAAGGACTACAGATCCATCCTACAACAGAATTTATAAGGAAAACAAATCTTATTTGCAGAAGATGAATTTCTAAATTGCCAAAAATTCCCTCTCTCAAATACCTATTAAAAACAATGAATTGGGAAAGATAAAACGTTTGGGTCAAACTCACCACAACAGGGATAGAAAGAGTGAGTTCTCATCTACTTTCTCCAGGTTAACACATGGTACTCAGTATTTCCCAAACCTGTTTCATCATAAGAATCCTCTGGAGAAATAGTTTAAAAAATTCTTGAACTCTACCACAAATTTACTAAATCAGGAATCTCAAAGGAAAGAGTCTAGGATTTTTAATAAGCACCCTATCTATTCCATTACCTACAGTCTATTGAAAGTTGTTCAGTCGTGTCCAACTCTTTCGGACCCCATGGACTATAGTCTATCAGGCTCCTCTGTCCATGGGGTTTTCCAGGCAAGAATACTGGAATGGGTAGCCATTCCCTTCTCCAGGGGATCTTACCAACCCAGGGATTGAACCCAGGTCTCGCACAATGCAGGCAGATTTTTTATCGTCTGAGCTACCAGGTAATAAGCACCCTCATTGCGGTAAACTACAGTTTGCTGCAAATACTAGTCTTCCTATTCAGAGAGTCTCATTCCCCCTCCCCTGAATGGAGGCTGGCCTTAATGGCTTCTGTGACTAACAGCATGTGGTGGAAGTTAACACGATTCTTCTGAAGTCTTGTAAGGAATGGCTTATGCTATTTTCCTGAATTAAAATGCCTTTCTCTTCCCATTCTCTGCTTGGTAAACTTCCATTAGCCTTCAAGACCCAGCATAATGTTACTTTTCCTACACAGCCACTCAAGCAAAATCCATCCTATCTGCCTCAGTGTCCCTTCCCAGCACTCTCTTCATAACACGCAGTCTGAATGGTCAAACAAGACAGTCATTAAATACCTGTCTTATTAGAATTCTTACTCCTCGAGGATGGCGATTTATGTCTTTATCCTCAGGGCTTAGCAAGGTTCCTAACAATGAATGCTTCCATTAAATGTTTTTGAAATAAATATTTTAAAAAGTAATCTTATTTTCAAAAGGTGACATGTGGTTTTTACCTATTTCATAGGCACTCTGATAAAGTCTATGCTATACAACATGAGTCACAGAACCCCAAAGCCGCTTCAAACCAAAGAAACTTCATTGTGAGGTTACTGGGACTGGTGATAAAGTTGTAAAGTGGGTAAAATTTCCAAAAAATACTGTTAGTAGAATGCTTATTAAATGGACTACTTACAAGAGAAAACAGTCATCCAAATTTTATCTTTTGTGGGATTTCCTATTTCTGACCATCAAATTTATTTATGTTAAAAGATCTGTTGTTTGAGATCAGTATCACGTTGACGAGATCAGTATCTTTTGGGGGATCAAATTTCCTCAGGAGAATTGCATCCCCCCTCAAAAGCCTTTAGTTCTCCTCCCCAAGAGCACTCATAGCTAACTGTACAGCAAGATATCTTCAACAGCTGATTAAATTATACTTTCAAGTGTTATTTAGCAATTAATGGTCATTGGCAAAGAGGGTTAAAGAACAGACTGTGTTATCAAATACCCACCTCGACTTCACATCTGGAAATTTCAAAACTTGTTGACTGAGGTTCAGTTTCAATTCTGCCAGGATTTGCCGAACTCATTTGTGTGGGCTGGCTATCCATGGTCTGTTTTTCCTAAAGTAAGGAAATATTAAAGCAACAAGCCACTGTAACCAAATATACATTAAAATAATTCACCTAGAGAATATGAAATCAAGATTTGGATGAATTAAACACTGGAAGTAACTAAAGACTTCAATGACTAACTAACTCTCCTTCTTCCTCTTTTGCATGCTCAGAGACTCAGCAACTTTCCAGCCTCTTCTGAGTCTGACCTAAACAGAAATTTGAAAGATTACTTTCAAGTTCCAAGGTGTTTTACATATATTCTCCTCATTTTACTTTCACTGCAACTCATAGTTAGACTTGGCAAGAATCATTGTATCTACTTTCCATATAGGAAATAGAGACCTAGAGACATTAAATAACAAAGCCACAGTCTGTACTAGGTTGGAGCTTAAACCTCCCAAATCCCTTTGATAACGTAATTCTGAAAAACTAGAGGTGTCTTAGGAATGCAATTACAAAATTAGAGTAGAAAAGACTATACTGATAACTAAACTTTTCCTTGCTGCACACTCTTCATCCCACTTAGTCACAGGACATGCTCTATTCCTAAACCCTATTTAAGGGATATATTAAAAAATATCAGATTTACATTGCTAAACTTGATAAATTTCAACATGGACCCTCTAATCACTACCACCAAAATCAAAAGTGAAATTCATCTCTTATGTCACCTACCCAAAATAGCAAGTAAAAAAGATCCTATTTGCACTCATAATGTGGAAAGCAACTAGCATGTACTGACTTCCACTATGGTAATAACTGTGTTAACTGTTTTACAAACACTCTCAATAAATTTTCACAATTCCATTAGGAAGACATCATCACCTCTGATTTAAAGTTCACAAATGTTAAGTAATTTTCCTAAAGGTCCCAAAACCACAGTGACAGCAGTTGATACCTCATTTTTCTAACTTTCTCTTCTGTACAATTTATACCACATGCTAATACCTGTTTTGAGCAGACAGTATTTCTCTGAGAATCACGAGGCTTTTGATGTAAGAGACAGATACACACATACACATTTATTTTATTATTTATCTGAAGGCTTTAGAATGGCATATTTTCAAATGCCAATCATTTACTCTGGAAAGACTAGCTTTAGATGTACCCTGATTCAATTTTCCTGGGAATCAGTTAACTGAGAAATGCAATGCTTTCTTCATCTAGGGTTCCTAACTCCAGTGCATATTACAAAAGTAGCTCCTGGGAATTTGCTGGTAGTCCAGTGGTTAGAACTCAGAGCTCTCACTACTGGGGCCTGGATTCAATCTCTGGTCACGGAACTAAGATCTTGCAAGCTGAGTGGTATGGCCAAGAAAAAAAAAAAAGTACCCGCTGAATGACTCACATCTCACCATTGTGCTTATTTTCAAAAACAGTGTGTATCTTTATCATAAATTTAGGCTGGGCTCAAATATGTAAATATCAGCAAGAGTTCAGGCTGAGTCACACTGCCATATTTTAAAGACAGATGAGGGACTAAATCACCAGTTGTTTATTTTCTAAATACTCTATCTGAAGATATGGCCAAAATATTAGAGAAAGTACTATTCCTCAACCAGTCACTGATGAGTCAACTATAATGATAAACTCTGAAAACTCAAAATTCATGGCAAATATGTAAATAATTTTTTCAACCTATGACTCCCCACTGATCTACTAACATTTTTATTCTTTAAAAGTTAATCAATTAAATAATTTTGAAAAACTCCTATGTTTAATCAAAAAAGGCATAGAATAACATTCTACTGACTGTCTTAGAAGCCTCTGATGTGATCTTTTTTAATTGTTCGATTTCATTATCTTTTTGTACATTACTGGAGATCAGTGCTTTCAGCTCTATTTCTAAAGCTGCAACCAGTTGATCGCGTTCTTCCCGCCACTGCTGGAGGTTACCATCTTTCTCAGCCAACTGTCCTTTAAGTATTTCCTAAACAGAATACAGACAAAATGTTAAAGTAAATGTTGTAACATTATGAATCTAAGAATTCTTGAAGTTATTATGGATAACACAATAAATACCACTGTGAACAGGATATACAACAAATTACACAATCAACTCTAGATAAAATTTTTACTTAAAAAAACAAATACATAATGCCTTTATATACCTTAACTATCCACATACTATATCCTATGCCACCTCATTCCAAAACAAAAAAAAAGCTTACTGGGCACTTCCTTCAATAAACAATTACAGCTTTTAAACTAATTCTAGCATTTCCCCCAATATTTGTAAAATGAGATGGTAAAATTACAAAAAAATTAATGACAAAACCAACAGCAACAAACAACAGAAAAATGAAAATTAATACCACCTTTTCACTGGGTTCAAAAATCATGAAATTGTGGCAAGTTAGAGAAAATATGTGCAAGATCTAAACATAACTACAAGACACTGCTGAAAGAAACAAAGGAACACTTAAATAACAAGGGGCTTGCTTCCCTGGTAGCTCAGACAGTAAAGAATCTGCCTACAATGCAGGAAACACAGGTTTGATCTCTGGGTTGGGAAGATTCCCTGAAGAGAATGGCAACCCACTCCAGTATTATTGCCTGGAGAATTCCATGGACAAAGGACCCTGGCCAGCTACAGTCCATGGGGTTGCAAAGAGTCAAACAAGACTGAGCAACTAACACTTTCACTTTCTTTTTTAAATAAACAAAGAGAACCTGTGTTCAAAGATCAAAAGATCAAGTATTTTTTAAATGTCAGTTCTCCCTTAGAAGATCTAGAGTCAAACAACTTCAATAAAAATCCAAGCAAGTGTGTGTGTATCTGTGTGTCTGTGTGTGAGTGGAAGTGGAAAAGCTGACTCTAGAAATAATATGAAAATGCAAATGACATAGACTAGTTTACTTTGAAAATGAAGTACAAAGTAGGAGCAATCATACCATGTCATTTTACCCTATATAATAATAATAATAAAGACAGTGTGATATTGTCTTAAGGATATACAGACATCACAGAACAGAGGATACAGTCCACAAATATTATGGTCAATTGATATTTCATAAAATGTCAAAGAAACTCAATGGAGAAAAGAAGTCTTTTCTGCAAAGGGTGATGGAGCACCTGAACAGCCAAATGGAAAAAAAGAAAGACTTATAATCTCACACCATATACAAAAGTTAACCACTGGACAATTGACCAACAACAAAAGTTGCAGAGCAGTAGAAAAGTAACAGCTTTTTCAAAAAGTACTACCAGGTCAATTGGTAATTCAAATTTACAAGAACAATGACAGCCTTTACCCCTATCTCACCCCAACACAAAAATTAATACTGGAATCAAAATATGAAAGGTAAAACCCCAAACCTTTCAGGAAATAATGTAAGAGAACATCTTCATGTCACTGAAGTTCATAAAGGAAAAGACTGAGAAAATTAATTAGAATAATTCTTCATTTCTGTTCTAAAAAGGCAATGAGAGTAAAAAGGTAAACCAGAGGTTGAAAGAAGGTAACTGCAACACACTCCTATCCAGAAAGTGTAAGGAACTCCTGTATAAAAAAGATAGTCAAATAGAAAATAAACAAGGGACTTGAGTAGGCAGAGTCAATAAACAAAACATTCAATCCAACAATACAAGTTGCAGTATAAATGTGTAAAAACTACTTTGAAAATTAGTCTGGCATTCTACTAGAGTGTCACATATAATTACCGTGCCTGCCTGCCTGCTAACTGCTTCATTCATGTAGACTCTGTGTGACCCTATGGACTGCAGTCTGCCAGGCTCCTCTGTCCATGGGATTCTCCAGGTAAAAATACTGGAGTGGGTTGCCATCCCTTCCTCCAGGGATGTTTATCCTATCCACTAGCAATTCCATTCTTGGCTATATATGCAATAGAAATGAATGTACACGTGCACTAAGAGAAATACATAAAAATGTTTACAGGATATCTTACTCATAACAGCCCCAAAGAGTAACAACCCCTGGATCTTCAACTTTAAATTGAACAGACTGTGGTATACTTCTACAGTGAAATACTCACCAATGAAAGGAAACTAACTCCAGCTACTTGCAACAAGTATAAATGATCTCACAAACATAATACTGAGTTAAAGAAGCCAGGCCCAAGAAAATGCATTCTACATATTTTTATTTATATAAAGTTTTAAAAAATGAACAAAACTGAAGTTTAACATTAAAAGACAGAACAGTTATTATCACTGAGGAGACAGGGTCTCTCGGATGGTAATATTGTTTTGTTTCTTAAACTCAATGGTAGTTAACTGGGGACTGGTTTTACAATAATTCATTGAACAACATTTCTTTTACTTACTGTGTTGTGTGTATTCCAATTTAAAAGGCTTTAAAAAAATCAACAATTTATTTCTTAAATATTGCAGACACACATCCTAGGTACGAATGTAAAGAAATAGATAGGAGAAAGGAAAAAGTTAGTTTGCTCTAGGACTAAAAATTCAAAGGAGGTTTACTTGCTGGCATTGCTGCAGAGGGACCACTGATTAGGAAAAGAAGTAGGTCCATTCCTGCTTTGGGGCTGGAGTGACTAACTATGAAAGTCAACAGTTCTGATTTCACTCCGTGCCTCTTGTTACTGTCCCGAAGGTTGAATGGGCTATGGACAGAAACAGAACCAGCAGCAGCATTTTCTGTTAGATGTAGCATTTTAATCTTGCTCAACACAACACTTCCTGAAGGTAACTCCAGTCAGGTGGCATTGGTACATGAAGTGAAATATATTGTCCACCTGAGTGCCATGGTAATAACAGGTATTAGTCTCACATACTTTGTCATATGACAAAGAAAACTGAGTCAAGATTCTAAGGAAACCTGACAACTAAATGGAACACAGTATTCTAGATTTGATCCTATATCCAGGGAAAAAAAAAAAAGTGGGAAAGATGGTGAAATTCTAGTAAGATCCAAAATTTAGCAATCAGTATTGTAATAATAATCTTAATTTGTTGGTTTTGATCACTTCACTGTTGTTATATAAGCTCTAACATCAGAAGTTGGGTAATAGGTATACAGAAATTCTCTGTACTAGCTTTGCAACATTTCTGGAAATAAAGTGATTTCAAAATAAAAAATAATTTTTAAATCTGTGGGAAAATCTTCTTTAACTTAGTGAAAATTAATGTTCCTGTTTGTACAGTAAAGTTCAGCTGATATAAGTAAAATTCTGTCATAAACAAAGGAAATGCCAACAGATGGCAATGTGATACTGCCATGTTACTATTACTGTAAATAGGGAACTAGGGTTAGGGTTAGGTTATCTTTTCATTTAAAGATAATATTACTCAATATTTAAAGATAATATTTAAATATTTGAAGATAATATTACTCAACAGTTTTGCCAGGTCAATGATGACTTTGAACTTTTTTCTGATTGAGTATCAAAGAGACTAAGTTGTAGATTAAAATAGAAGGAAAAAACACAAACTATTAATAAGACAGAATTACTTGAGAACTATAGCTAGTCAATGTAAAACAGAAAGTTATTTCTACCTATAGTCTTCTAGAAACTATATAGTTGACATTTTTTAAAAAAATAAAAAAGATCTGACAAAATCAACTTATGAGGTAAAATGCATACACCATGTTAGCAGAATCTACAGTTCAAAATGCAAATATTTTACATTATAGAACCCCATGGCAGTCAAAAGGAAAAGATTTTTAAGTTCTGAATCTAGATATTGAGAAATAATTATTTTCCCAAAAATAAGAACTTCAAGATAAACTGGGATAGAAAACTCATCTTACAAATAGACAAACTGCCTTGAAAACAAACAAAAAACCAAACCCACACAACCATGTAGACACTCATAAGAATCTAAGAATCCCAGGCAAAAATTTAAAAAGCCAAAGAAAGCAGGCAAAATACACAGCAAAGTATAACTATTACCAACCATTTCATTTTGTTGCTTCAAACAATGTTCTCTGTCTTCAGCATATTTTTTCATCTCTTTGTTTCGTAGATTCTCAGCTTCTTTTGCTTGAGTGATAAGCATCATTTTTTCTTCTAACCATTTTTTTCTTTCAGCTTCATGTTTCTGTTCAGATTCCTACATGTAGAAATAGCACAAGTAACTATCACATGTTTCAAAAGCAGTTAATAAACCTGCATTTATAAACATTTCCATATAATACATAGCTCTTCATTTCACCTTTTAGAAAACTTAAAAACAAGCAGTTTTCTTTAAATATTGAAAAAGTTTGAGTATATTTCAGATTATAAAATGAACATTGTCAGTTGCTTTCCTAAATATTTCATTTACAAACTTAATTTTGCTATAAAGTCCATTTAAGAACTTTCCTTCATCAGTGAGCTTAAGAAGAAATAACTGAAATTTCTGAAAGAATTACAGAAAATCAAGTCTTCCTAAATGCCAGATTAAAAAAAATTTTTGATTTATAGTGGTCATTTCTAGCTGTGATTCCTAAAATAAAATTTTCCCAGGTACACAGAATGTCAAAGAGTAACTTGTGTAACAGGACAAATATTTATTAAAGAATACAGGGAATACCTGGATAGAAAATACAGTTGATCAATAAATTTTAAAGAGGCTTCCATAGATCCTTCAAGTTCGAAAACATCTCATTTATATGTTTAAAACTCATGTAAAACTTCTTTTGGAGCAAAAATAATAATACTACACTAAAAGCTATGTATTTAAAAATCTACTGTTCTTAAAACTTGCAAAACCACTGTGCCAGATAAATTACCACAAGCCCATTACAGAATTACAAAGTTTATTACATAAGATACATGATCATATTATTTTAGAATGCAAAACACACCAGTATTCCTTACTATGAACATTCGCAAAGTAATCAGTGTATTTTTTCATAACTAATGGATTATCCACTCTGTTCTAGCTGCTTTTGGTTCTGACAATGGGAAGGTAAATTCTACAGTATGTAATTAATAGTTACAAAAAAAGAAAAGAACTGATTTACTTGTTTAATATCTGATTATATACAGCCTGAATTTAAGAAAATAATTTAGATGCAATCTTTTCAAAACTCATTACTATGCTTTCTTCAAGGCCAAAACTGCAGTTGGATTGTAACTTCTAATAAATAAAATGTATAAAATTTTACATAATATTTGTTAAGTCCCATTAAAAAATCTTTGCCCTGTATGTTCTATTCTACACATGGCATGTGAAAGCTAAATAAGGAAAAATACATAAACAGGAAACAGGGTATCTTCTATGTAGTAATATAGTTTCAAATGTAGTAATCTATTTTCAAATGTATTCCAATGTTCAGACATACAATTCTAATCTTTTCCAGCTTAATAACTAAATTAACAATAATCAAAATAATTTTCCTAATAGTTTCTTCTCTACAGTGGTGTTTGAAGAGTTAGAAGTTTAAACAGTACAAAAATAGGTACAAAGACTTAAGACATGATGATACAAAAATTAAATATGTAAAACTGAAGACCCAACCACTGCATTTTCATTGGCACTTAGTAGCTTGTATTCTAGGGAATCTCTTCCCCATGTCATTTCAATGTGCACTGAGAAATTATATACTAACATTTCCCAGCCATGAGTACATCCATATCTAAAGTAATTATAAAATATTTACTAAACCATCTTCTTATGAGAAATATTAATAAATATATAGATACAATTACACATGTAGAAAAAGATCATACCTGTAACTCATCTTGAAGCTTACTGAGTTTTGTATTAAGTACATCTGTGTTATCCTCAAATTCTTTATTTGAACTTTGATTGTGTTTGGCTTCCAAATCTTTGCATTTTTCCTTCCATTCTTCCAATTCTGATAAGAAATATAAATTTTTTTTAAAGTACACGAAAAAGTTATACTGCACAGAGATGTATGTGGCATGGGATACAGACAGGAATCAGCAGAGCCCAGAAGCAGAAGATCATAGGCCAAAATATTAAATAGAACTGAGACCATTCTGGGCTTCCCTTGTGGCTCAGCTGGTAAAGAATCCACCTGCAGTGCGGGAGACCTAGGTTTGATCCCTAAGTTGGGAAGATCCCCTGGAGAAGGGAAAGGCTACCCACTCCAGTATTCTGGCCTGGAGAATATACTGTCCATGGGGTCCCAAAGAGTCGGACATGACTGAGAGATTTTCACACACACACACACACACACACACACACACCATTCTACAAGCTTACCAAATTCTTAGACAAGAACTACAAAAACCTCTCAATAACTCATTGAATAGTGTTCTGAGTATACAATTTAAATGAGTGCCAATACACAGGAAACTTCATGCTCCCAAAAATTAAAAAAAAAAACCACCAAAAACCCATTGATGGTATTCTTAACGACAGAATCAGAGTATTTATTGAGCTAAACATACAAGATGATACCAATTGCTGTAGCAAGGTGAAAAAGTTGAAAGTTTATTCTTAACATCTGGGGAACGCTGCAAGCTATCATCCAGTTATTATGAAAGTGTACTGATTCCTTTCTTCAATGAGATACAACGATCTTCATCACAGTAAAACATAACAAGTGACAGGATATTCCAAAACGACAATAAATACTTTTCTATTATAAATTATTATAAATATTAAACCACATTAAAAAGGAAAGCAAACCAGTAAAAGAAAGAAAATGAAAAAGTATGTTTTGAAATATTTAAGCAATCTTGTTTTACCTGTGGCCAGTCTTTTGGTTTCTTCTAATTTAGCCTCAAGCACTTGATCTTGTGCTACCTGAGTTTGCTCTTGTTCTTCCAGGGTCATTTGCATGTCTTTGATTATTTTTTCTTTAACACTCAGATCTAAAAATTTAGAAAGAACACTTTAGAAATTATTAACATCTACATCTAGATATCCATATTGAAAATTAAGTTAACTTAAATAGAATATGCGTTCCACATAGACAAAACTTAGTCTCATTCACTGCTATATTTTCAATGCCTAGACCAGTACTGGCATATATGAAGGATCAAATAAGTAACTGATGTACAGATGAAAGCAAGAATAAACAGACAGAATAGGAAGCTTTTCAAATAAAATTAATCATTTTCAATACAATTAAGCTATTAATAAAAATCATAAAACTATTATTTTACTGTTCTTCACTTAATTGTGCTTCAGATACACTATGTTTTTTAAAAATTCAAAGTCTGTGGCAATCCTGCATCAAGCAAGTCTATAAGCACCATTTTTCTAACAGCATTTGTTCACTTCTTGCCTCTATCACATCTTAATAATTCTATCATTATTGTTGTATTTGTTATGATGACCTATGATCACTCATCCCTGATGTTACTACTGTATTTCTAGGGGGGACGCTATGAACTACAACAATGTAAAACAGATTAACCCATAAAGACTGTGCATGCTCTGATTGCTCTCATGACCAGCTATTTCCCTGTTTCTCCCTCTCCGTGGACCTCCCGATTCCCTAGGACACAACAATATTGAAATTAATCCAATTAATAACATTACAGAGGCCTTCAAGTGTTCAAGTGAAAGGAGGTGTTTAAGGAGAGTCACATAACTCTCACTTTAAATCAAAAGCTAGAAATGAAATGATTATGTAAGGAAGGCATATCAAAAGCTGAGACTAGCCAAAAGCTAGGCCTCTCGTTCCAAACACTCAAGTTACGACTGCAAACTAAAGTTCTTCAAGAGACTTTAAAGTCCTACCCTGGTGAATATTCAAATGATAACAAAGCGAAACAGACTTACTGATGATATAGAGAAACTTTCAGTGGCCTGGATATAGAAATCAAAAATAACCACAGCTTAATTTAGAGCAAAGCTCTAATTCTTTCCATTCCATGAATGCTGAGAAGTGAGGAAGTTGCAGAAGGAAAGTTTCAAGCTAGCAAAGGTTAGTTCCTGAGGTTCAAGGAAAGAAGCTGTCTCCAAAACATAAAAGTGCAAGGTGAAGCAGCCAAGTGCTGACGTAGAAGGTGCTGCCAGTTATCCAGAATATATGACTAAACTGCTGCAATCTAATGATAAAACTTGAACAGACAACGAGTTGCTTCTTAAGGATAAGCAAAGAAAGTGGTTTCTTGAGATGGAATCTATTCTGAGTGAAAAATGTTGAAATGACAACAAAGGATTCAGAATATTACATAAACTGAGTTTATGTAATGTAAAGCAGTGGCAGAGTCTAAGAGGCTTGACTCTTAATTCTGAAAAAATTCTACTGTGGGTAAATAGGCATCAAACAGCAGAGCATGCTACAGAGAAATTGTTTATGAAAGGAAGGTCAACTGATGCGGCCAATTTCCTCATTGTCTTACTTTAAGAAATTGCCACAGCAACCCCAATCTTCAGCAACCACTACTCTGTTCAGTCAGCAGTCTTCAGCATCAACATAAGGCCCTACTCTATCAGCAAAAAGATTACAGCTCCCTGAAAGCTCTGATGATGGTTAGCATTTTTTAGCAATAAAGTATTTTTTAATTAGGTGTAAGGACTGTTTTTTTAAACATAATACTACTATGTCTTAATCTGGAAAAGGTAAAGAAACAGATTCTCCCCTAAAGCAACCAGAAGGAACACAGTTTGCAGATATCTTGATTTTAGCCTTATCAGACCTTTTCCAGACTTCTGACCTCCAGAGTTGTAAGGTAACATATTTGCATTGTTTTAAGCCATTTAACTATGTGCATGGGTGCTAAGGGCTTCCCTGGTGGCTCAGACTGTCAAGAATCTGCCTGCAATGCAGGAGACCTGGTTCGATCCTTGGGTTGCGAAGATCCCCTGGAGGAGGGCATGGCAACCCACTCCAGTATTCTTGCCTGCAGAATGTCATGGAGAGGAGCCTGGTAGGCTCTATAGTCCACAAGGTCACGAAGAGTTAGACGTGACTGAAGTGATTTAGCACGCATGCACAGGACCAAATCTGAAACATCTCTGAGGTACACCAGTACTAATAAACACATATATTGGGGTTTAGAAAAAACCTTATTTGACAAATTTCACTGTTAATATTCTTAAACCAAAACTAAAACTGAAATTTTTACCTCCTTAAAACAATAAATTCTCAATCCCAAATTTACTATTTTGAAAATCTCAAGTAATTATTTTTTCTAGAAAAAATTTCAAAGCAAAATATTTACTTCTAGTGTTTTTTAAACCAGCTCCTCAGGAACAACTGTGCTATTATAACCTTACTAAAACTGTTTCTGGCCCTTGAAAAAATGACTAAAATAATGGATTATAAATAATTCGAATCCTACCTGAAAGAGATAAGGAGGAAAGACTGGCTTATTGTCTTTGGTGACACAGTACCAGGGCTCACTTCCCACACCTCTTACCAAGACTACTATTCATGTCAGAGGTGATGAATCTATAAATGCACAGCTCAAACTCAGAGCACTAAAAGTAACACAAATATCTAAAGATGGCCCCCCTAAAACTCTTACTATAAAGCAAGCTTAAAACAAAACAATGAGAAAATATCTTGAGTAATTTTCAGTATTTCTGTTCATTGATATATGCCACCAGGAGAATTAATGAAACAGAATTCTTTCTTAGGATCAAAGAAGTACTGGTATTCTACCCCAAACTCTTCCTTTGAAAAAGCATGATATGCAAATATACTGACTATATAGTTAATCACAATTTTATTCAAATAATCTGTTCGTACATCCTATCATCTGCTCTAAATTAGAGGGTTCAAAAGAAGGAATTTAAGTATCTAGATAGCAATCAGTAAAGTCCCAAGACACCAATGATAACTTCACTAATGGCTATCCATCTATTGTGAAAGGTAGAAACAGTAAAAGAAAAGATATTTACATTGATCATAGCCTCCAATAACTGAACTTTATTTCAAGAAAAGAATCCAGAAATACACAACAAATAAAACACAAAATAAAACAAAAGGACAGGAACTAGATACTTCATCAAAGCTACCTAAAGACAGCTATCAACTAACATAGCTAAATAAATGACTGGCAGACAATCAATCAATCAAGTGTTTAACATTCAGGGGAGAGGATCACTGAAAGCTATATGATGTCCTGGCAAGGCTTCAGGAGGAAAAGCTTAAGCATAATGTTCGAGAACAGGTTGGTTGTGCAAAGAAGGGACATAGCACCAACTTGTGAAAGAAATGACATACAAATGTCATGTAAAACTCTGGATTAGAAATACTCAGTGATTGGGAATTTCACAGCAGTTCAGTGGTTAAGATATGGCGCTCTCACTGCCAGGGCCCCGGGTTAGATCCCTAGTCAGGGAACTAGATACCACATTCCACAACTAAGAGTAGGCATGTCACAACTAAAGATCCCAAGTGCCACAACTAAGACCCAGGGCAGCCAAATAAATTATTATTTTTTTACTAAAGTGAGAGAATTCACACTTCTCAATATCAAATCTCACTAAAAGGTAAGTAACAATACTGTATGGTACTAGCATTAAGGACTGACATATAAAACAATGAAAGAGCTAAGAGTTAGAAGATAAATCCTTACATTTATGGTCAACTGATTCTCAACAACGATGCAAAACAATGCAACAGGAGAAAGAATAGTCTTTTCAACAAATGGTGCTGTGACAACTGGATCTCCAAATGAAAAAGAATTAAGTTAGACATCTACCTTACATAATATACAAAATTACACTCAGATTAACTCAAAAATGAATCAAAGACCTAAATACAAGAGCCAAAAACTATAAAACCCTTAGAAGAAAACCTAGGTAACTTCAGATTAGGCAACAGGTTTTTTAGACATGATACCTAAAGCATAAGCAATCAAAACATGACAGGTAACATCAAGATGAAAAACTTTCACTTTGTAAACATTGTAAAGCAACTATACTCCAATAAAAATTAACTTAAAAAATTAAAAACTTTTATCTATCAAAGGACACTATCCAGGAAGTGAAAAACCACCCACAGAATAGGAGAAAACATTTACCTGATAAGGGTCTAGAATCCAGAAAACATCAAAATCACAACTCCACACCCACACACAAAAAACAAGTGGGGGGAGGGGGCAAACAACCCAATTGAATTGTTTGAGGGAACAAGAGGGGGCAATTTTTGCCCAAAACAGGCAAAGCACATTAAGGACATTAACAGACATTTCTGCAAAGAAGATATATGAATGGCCAATAGCAGAAGACAAGATGCTCAATATTACTAGGAAATGCAAATCAAAACAACAAATAGGAATTACCGGGTCGTCCAATGGTTAAGAATCTGCCTTGCAATTCCGGGGATATGGTTTCAATCCCTGGTCAGGAAACTAAGATCCTACATGCTGTGCACCAACTAAGTCCACGTGTCTAAACTACGAAGCCTGTTCTGTGGAGCCTGTGCCCACAACTAGAGAAGCTGTGTGCCAGAACAAAAGATCTCAAAGACACAATGAAGATCCCACGGACCACAACTAAGACTTGCTGCAGCTGAATAAATAAGTGAACCAAAATGACATACTCCTTTATACCCACCACGATGTGAGGGGAAAAAACTATTTCTACTCCGTGTGAATATGACCTTACTAGGAAAAAGAGGCTGTGCAGAGGTAATCAAGTTCAGAATAAGGTCATACTGGATTAGCGTGCCTGAATGCAAAGTTGCTTCAGTCATGTCCAACTCTTTGCGACCCCGTGAACTGCAGTCCACCAGGCTCCTCTGTCCATGAGATTCTCCAGGCAAGAATACTGGAGTGGGTTGCTCCAGTGGGAAGTCTCAGGGGATCTTCCCAACCCACAGGTGGAGCCCACGTCTCCTGCATTGCAGGTGGATTCTTAATAGCTGAGCCACTGGGGAACTCCTGCTACTGGATTACAGTGGGCCCTAAATTCAACATAATTGGTGTCCTTGTAAGAAAAGGGAAGTTTGTATGGCAACAGATAGGGAGAAGAAACACACTCAGAGGGAAGATGTCTATGTTAAGACAAAAGCAGAAGCTGGAGTTCTGGTGGAAGCATGAATGGAGAGTGATCGCTAATCAGTACAGCATTTCTTTCTAGGGTGATGAAAACGCTCTGGAATTACATAGTGGTAGTGGCTGTACAAGTTTGTGAATATACTAAAAGCTACCAATACTGTACACTTTTAAAGGGTAAATTTTATGGTTTGTGTATCTCAATTTAAAAAACTCAGTAAGATACCTAGGTAAATGGCATTCAGTATTTAAATAGAACTTTAGAAGCCAGGGAAACCCTTAAGAGCTAAAAATGTACTTTTCTGCTTGTCAGAGAATGTCTAACACAAAGTTAAAATCACAAAGGTGAAGGAACTCAACAGTGAAAACAAAGAGAAAAAAGATAATGATGCCTTATTCAAGAAATTTGTCACAGTGGCTAAGGTCCATTCTGAGAGAAAGGCAGTAACCAGAAGAAGAGATCACAAAAGCCAAGGTAAAAGAGTTTCAAAAAGGGGGAAGCTACACATCACCTTTATACTAGAAAAAATACTCTTACACATCACCTTTATACTAGAAAAAATACTCTTACACATCACCTTTATACTAGAAAAAATACTCTTACACATCACCTTTATACTAGAAAAAATACTCTTACACATCACCTTTATACTAGAAAAAATACTCTTACACATCACCTTTATACTAGAAAAAATACTCTTACACATCACCTTTATACTAGAAAAAATACTCTTACACAAGTACTACTACTTAAAAAATGAACATGAGAGAAAGTGAGTTGACAAATAATTAAAAAATAAAGGAAAGGACGGGTTGCAAAAACCAAAAAGATCTGAAACTATGCAGGTTACAAGTGGTCTGGATTAAAGTTTAGAGAGAATGGAGAAGATGGAAGATTAAGAGTACTCAAAATGGGCCTACACCACACATCTCAATATGTGGCCAAGAAATAAAATAGTAAAATATGAAAGAAACTATATTCTGGTTCAAAGAATGTTTTATAGAATAGCCAAGATCTATTCACACCTGCCAACAATGACAAAGGGGCCAAAGTAAAGGAAAATTCCAAAACTATTACAGAAATATGAGATGGTTATGGGACAATGGCCTAAAAGGGTGGGAGAAAATAAGATTCTGTAGGGACATGTATTTTCACATCCAAGTTACTGATCCAAGTTAATTCCTCTTCACTGATAAACTTCAGGGTGGTAAGTTACTCTTGAGAATCAATGCTTTTCTCTTTTGATAAAGTTACATTTTATGTTGCCCTTATTTCACTTCAGAATTTTCAAAGGAAAATGATGAACCAATTGTTATTCTAGCTACTTATTTTGCAGTCTTTTTAGTACTGCAAGAAGAGGTTTGTTTCTGACCTTTGCACACTCTCTCATACTGTTGTATAGCTTCTTCCGCTTTTTGATTATTTAACTGCTCCTGCAAATGAAAGAATATGAAATGCAAATGAAACTTAATCATACGCCAATATTTAATAGTGGGACTTGAACAGGGTTTATTATTAACTTTGAAATCTATCTCCATGAAGGCTAAGAGTCTGAAGCTCCTAAGTTTGTTTCACCTCAGAGTAAAGGGTAGGGTGAGAGTGATAATAGGAAAAAATAAAACAAAAATACACCCCCCCCAACTTTATACCTTTAATCTACCTCAAAAATGCCAAATCATTTTCTTCACTCAACATTTTAAGCTAGCATGTATGTTCTCTTACACAACACAAAAAGCATAAAGGGTAAGAAATATATTTAATATGGGAACAACAAAGTAAACCATAAATAAATTCCTTATCAAGTAAACTCAAGACGCAGAAAAAATTTAGCCCCCACATCCCCTATATGTAGAAAGTAGCTGGAAGGTTTGAAAAAGATGCAACATTACTTTATGGACACTGGAAATCCTTCAATTTTAGTTTTAACCCGTCTGGTAATCTAACCTTCCATCTAGAGCTCGAAGGATGGTGAAGAGACAATGAAAGAAAACGAGGGAGGAACTACAGAGGTGGATGGACAGAGATGGATGGAACACAGAACGGCAAAGGTTGACGGACAGGGACAAAACAGACCGGAAACAGCACTACAGAGATGGACCCGCAGAAGGGAAACAGAGAACCAAGGAGGTGGGCGGGCAGGACGGAACCAGGCGGAGAATGACAGAGGTAGACAGAGAATGACAGAAGCAGACAGATGGAAAGCGACTGAGGTGGATGCAGAATGATGCAGGTAGCACTGACACGACTGAAACAGAGAGAGAACAAGGAAGGTGGACAGAAACAGGCAGAGAATGGTGGAAGTGGGTGACCAGAGACCGAAACGCTGAGGACAACACAGGCTTACAGAACGATGGAGGTGGTCAGACAGGACAGAAGCAGATGGAGAGTGACAGAGGTAGACAGACGGGGACGGAAATAGATGGAAAATGACAGCGGCGGTCCAAGGTAGTCCAGCAGTGAGGGAAAGAACCTAGTCGGTGTCTGGCTACATAAGGGCACACTATAAACAAAATTTCCATCTGTCTTGACACCTCACCATTCCTTTGGATTGATGCTCAAATCATTTATCACCAAATACTCATAGCTGTTCCTCAAAGTCCCCTAAAGATCCCTAGGGTGTTGGAATCATGAAATAATTGTCTTCTCGAAAGTAGGATTTTAACAGTTTTTTTTCTTCCTAAAGGCCTCCAAACATCTCCTGAAAACATGACTCTTGTTCTGCAGGTGTCAGGGAACATGAAGGCGGACTAACAGAGCCCCCTGAAACGGGGCTCCCAACGCCTCGGAATCTCCCCTAAACCTGGGGCTGAGATGCCCTTCCCCGACAGCAAATGCAAACAAATCTCTGGAGCAATCCCAGCTGTTATAGGCACCTTGACCAGACACTGGGCTGGGTTTACCACCTAAGACTCCTGAGCTGTGATAAACATTTTAAGGCAGGATAAGGAAAAAAGAAAATTTCACAAGCATAAAATTCTCTGTGCCCACCTCCTACCCTATTTTAACTGTGCATTATGCACTGGCATTAACCCCTGCTTAGAAGACACAGGAATGCCTGCTGGATGGTAAAAAGCTATTTTCTCCTGGTGCCAGCAAGGTAACTCCTTAGGAGATAACCTTCCTTCTTATCATGAAAGGGGCCATGATTACCCCCTACTCATATCTGAGTACTGTAAACTGTCAACAATATATCATTTGATGTATAATCCTTTGTCTCAAAAAGTATGCAACTTTGCTTTGACCTCTAATGGGTGGAATAGTCCTAAGAGCTTTCTGAAAGACTGTCTCCCAGGTTATAATCCTCAGATTATCCATTTTTTACTTTAAAAAACATATATACATTTAACTAAACACTAAAATATACCAGCAGAGTCTATTTAAATCATATTTAAAAACAAAACTGTTACCTGAAGTTGCTGAATGGTTCGCTGTTTCATATCTATTTCCTGAGAACACTGGTTTTTCTTTTTCTCCAGTTCATTAATTTTAATCCTCAACAATTTCTCCTCATCACGCATTACAGAGACCTACAAAGTAATAAATCAAATTAAGTATTTCTAAAAATACTAATTGCTTTGTTGTTTAAAATTTAAGGCCACTGTTTCAAAGATTAATGTCCTTTTTAAGAGCATTAGAAAGATTACACATCCTAACATACATGATGTAGCTCAAATTATCAGAATCTCAAACTCTGCAAATGCTCCCAAAAAAGACTCAGAATAGTCCCATGCATGCAGGAGGGAAATCATTATCATGGAAAAATCAATAGAGATACTCCAGGGGAAAAATACTGACTCTGATTTCCAAGATTTATTAAGTAATATGATCCAGTAACACAAGAAATGACTTAACAGCTAATAATGGCATGTAGAGGATGAAAATAGAACAATTACAAGATCAAAAGTTACCCATGCAAGGGAAGGTCAATTGATTTTTGGTGTTACGGGTAACTTAATCCTACAAACCTATTAAAGAAATCAAAAAGCACTTTGAGTTAGTATGCAAATCTTAAAGGAAAAGAGGGGAGAAGGAGGGAGGGGAGAGAAGGGAAAGGGATAAGTAGAGAAAACATGTAATCAAAGTACACCTTTAGGCCAATTTTCAAGATACCTAGGGATCTCACAAACCGAAGGAAATTAACTGAACAAAATCCCCCTTCATAAAAATTATGGAGATACCATAATAATAGTAGTTCTTTGGTTTCAGGTGAATTTTTACATTTCTTTTTAGGCTTCCTGTATGTTCCAAAATTACTACAATAAACATATATTCCTTTTATAATCATACATTAATAAGGTTAATTTTATATCTTATTTTGCTCAAAAACAAGAGACTTCCACTAATAAACACCATCTTCATCAATTTTACAGACATAAACTGTCTGCCAATAATACAGAGACTATGTATTGCACCAAGATGCACATAAGGACTGCTTCAGTTTCCATCCTGGCTCTAACACTGGACAAGTTATCTCTCTCAATGCCTGTCTCCCTAGTCATGAAATGGAAGCTAAAAATAGTCCCTATGCCTAACATTTGTATGAAAATTAAATGAGATGATACATGTAAACTCAGAACAACCAATCCAGAGTAAGCTTCTATTATTATTAGCATTAACATTATACATTGCTTATTTTGAAAGACAGAAAACACTCTTAATTCTCGCCCTTAGGGTAATACTAGTCATCTGCACAATAAAACATTACTCAAAAAGAGATACCACCTAAAGCTATGAAAAAAAAAATCTTAAAATTAGAAAAAATTTTAAAAGCAGTATTTATATATAGCTGATCCCATTTATAAAAATAAAAACACACAAACACATAGAGTAACTATTTTACATATATGGATATGGAAGGTATCTACCAAATCATAGCGGGAGCTTCTCCTTACCAGTACAGGCCTAATAGTCATGAAAATTATAATTTATTTGATCAAAAAGTTTATACCCAGATTCTTTTCATTCATTTTTAATTTTACATTAATGCTGTATTATTGTGAGCTTTATTATGCTACATTAAAAATTATTCAAGGACTTCAAATGCTGGATAAAAAAGTTTTAAATCTTTTGAAAAGTACTGAGAAACTAACAAAAACATAAATAAATATCAAGATAACAAAAAATTAAGTGAAAAAATAATCACAAAAATAAGTGTAACATTGACTGGCTTTTATTTTGAGGACATTCACAGAAAGAGAAGGCCTGACTTTCAACAAGTAAGCTAGAAGGTAGCTGCAATGTATTTTATAGGAGTCAGAACCAAGGACTTCCCTGGTGGGAAGTGGTGAACAATTACTGGTGGGAATTAGAGAAAGCTCGTGCAGCAACGAAGACTCTCAACAGCCAAAAATAAATAAATAAACCAAAATTTAAAAACAAAGAATCAGACATAAGAATAAAGAAATCCAACATAATAATTTTTAAAAGTACAGCAAAATTAAAAGAAAATATGAATGAATGTATTTCAGAGTGAAAACAAGAACAGACATTTAGTGATAAAAACAGACACTGAGAGGAACACAACTTAAAACCATAAGATACCCCTTTACCTCCTGACCCAACAATTCGACCCCATGCTCTACAAATTCTTGTACATGCATACCTAGGGCGTGTTTAAAATAGAATCACTCTTTCTTCTAAGAGCAAAGAACGAAAACAATGTAAATGGGTCAAGAGAATAGATAACTAAATTGTACAGTTACACACTTTGGAATATTACACAGCAGTGAAAGTGATTAACTATAACCATACAAAAACAACTCTCAGGAATATGATGTGGATGTCTCAGAACACAATGTGTAGAAATAAAAATATATATATATAGCTTAACTTACATTTTTAACAGATCTAAAAAAAGACAAATATAAAACATTCATTATAGTAACTTTATTGGGGATAGGAAACAAAAAATGGATGAGACCCACAAACAACTGCTGTGTGAATAGTCTTCAGACATTAGAATTTAAGTATTCTTTTGTAACTAACTGTAAGGAATGAAAAATATTTAAAATTATTTCAACTTTTAAAAAAGTCTTAATTATGATACAAAGTATAGCAGTCATAAAAGAAAAATAAATTGCTCCAAGGGAAAAAAGCACCATAATCAAAATCAAGAAAAATGGCAACATAGGGGTCAGGTGCAGGGGTTATCCACAATTAATATCCTTAAAAAGTTACTTTCCTAAATATATAGTAAGCTACCATAAAGCAATAACAATAAAAAAAATAATAACCTAAATTAAAACAAAGAATACGAATACTCAGACCACAGGAGGAAAAACAAATAAATTGTAAACCAAAAAAATGTTCATTCTAATTAAAGATATGCAAGTTAGAATTATAGTTGAGATATACTATTTACATGTCAAGTTAGCAGATATCAAAGAAATACTGATAAAATACCACTTTGTGGATAAGAGTATAGAGAAAAATACTTTCTTATACATTAGTTCTGGTGAGTAAATTGGCATAATCTCTAAAAAGCATAATAAATATCAAAATGTACAAACCAATGACTCATAAATTCCACTTTTAGGAATTTATTTCACAGGAAGACCTATAAAAGTTCAAAATGACATCACTGCATCAGTAACTGGAAATTAATTGTTCAATGATAGGAGACTCATTAACCATAAATACATGTTCCTAGTCATTAAAAAAGTCATCTGGAAACTCTTTATATCTTGAGATGGAGAGACAGTCAAGATACACTATGTGAAAAAAACAAGGTTCACATAGTATTTATTGGAGGTTTCCATTTTTTAACAGGAAGAGAAGAAAGGAACAACCGAGGAAGAGGGAGAAGTGAAGAAAAAAAAATTACTGGTAACATTTGATTCCTTGGTGGGAAACTTGAGGGCAGTTTTTCCCCTCACTATATATACTTTCATGTGTTTTAAATTTGGAACCATGTGAACGTATTTCCTATTTTTAAAATCAAATTATTAAAAAAAATTTAAAAAATAAAATTATAACAAAAACTTGTTACAACTGCACTACATACTCTCCTACATACAATCTGTAAACAAAAGTTTACTTTTTACTTTTTGGGGGACTTGAGCTTAGTCCTTAAAAGAAAAAAAAAAGGTTCTAGTCTTATATAAGGCACATATTTTTGTTACTATTAGACATTCTTAAGTTTGTTTAAGCTGACTAAATTTTCTGTGAAATAACAGTTCTCATCATTTAAAAAAAAATTACAGAGTTGACAAATGTTCCGGTCAATACCAAAATTAGTGTCTAAACATGATATATAAGGAAAACAATCATTATCGTTTAAATTGGCCACACTTTTCAAATAACTAACCTCTTTCTGTACTTGCTCAATCTGCTTTCTGGCATCAGCCAGTTTCTCTTTCAGCTCAGCATAATCTTCTTCCTTCCTCTGAAGATCAGCTTTCAGATTCTGAGTAAGAGTAGTGCTTGCAGAGAGCTCCTCTTTCAACCTAAAAATCACAAATCACTTTCCTATAGTGATACATCACTAATCACTTAGGATCATATGTGTGACTAGTCATCTACAAAATTAGATCTTTTCACAAATTTGGAATGTCCACAGCATGAATGAGTACTTCAAGGAGGATTTCAGAAGATTTTATAAACAGAATTCTGCATGTAAATAACATTCAGTCCCAAAGGTTTACACAAAGTTCAAGTTCTTCTCTCAACATACATGCTATATTTAACCAGATTAAGTTATGCCCACGTAAATGCTTTAAAAGCTATGTAGAAAAATCAATAAAAGAAATGCAAATTTTTAAAACCTTTTAATAACTTTTAGCTTACTTTTCTGTTTCTTGCCAGCTTGTTTCCTTTTCTTCTTCCTTTAATTGAAGTGAATGCTTAGCATCTTGCAAATTTTTTGTTAATTGCGTGATTTCTTCTTTCAATTTGACTTCCCTTTCACTTAAATCTCTGGCATTTTGGATAGAATCTTTAAGATATGCTTGACATTCATTCAGATCTCTTTCTTGCTTTAAAATGATAGATTCCTTTTCCATAATTTCTTGTTCTAACTTGGCTGAATGGCTACATTCATTTTTCTGAGTTTCTAACACTGCTTCAAGTTCCTTTATTTTCACCTTATAGCAAGTAACATCTTGCATAAGTTCTGAAAGTGCTCTCTTTCCTTCCACTACATGCTGTACTTCAATATCAAGACTAACGTTTTTTTCTTGCAATTCTTCCTTCAGCTGCTGTATGAGACTATCCTTTTCTTTTAGTAACTCATCTTGATTTTTCTTCTCCCTCTCCTCTATTTTTAGTCTATTGTTTTCATCTGTACAGTCTTTTACTTCTGCCTGTAATTTTTCAATTTGTTGCTGCAGTTCCTCAATCCGACGGGTTTTTGTGGAGGAAGTCTTTAGAATCTCCTTACATTCTTCCCAAATGGCTTCAACAGCACCGTGGAAAGACCTTTCCCCACCAAGTTCCTGAATACCACGCTCGCTAACCTGCTTACTTATCAGATAATCAGTATCCAAATGATGTAAGTGTGTATTCGGCAGATTATCTTCTTGAGAACCACTGGACAGATCCCTGAGATTGAGTAAATCTGCGCTTGCGATCTGAGGAATTGAATCAAGTCTACGCAGTTCATCTATTTTTGCTTGCATTAATTTTATTTGGGAAACATTATTTGTGATGTTTCTTCTAGCAGTTTCTATCTCTTCTGACAATTTCATGATCCTTTCCTTCTGTTCTTGATTTATACTTTTCTGTACATGTAATTCAGAAATCACATTGTCATAACTCAACTGAATTTGTTGGACCTCTATACTAAAACCTAAACTTTTTTTTTCAGAAGAAGAAAGTTCTTGCTGCAAACTAACAATCTGTTTATTTAATTCTGTTTTTTCTTCCTTTTCATTTTTAAGTTCATTCTCAATGGTGAGCAAACGTGTTTTTAACTTTTCATTATTTTCCTGTAGAACTCTAATGTTTTCCTCATCTGAAATGCTCTCTTGCATTTCTTCACTTTTCTTTTGGTCTTCAGTGATAGTTGGACTAGCATGTGTAAGTCCTTTAAAAATTAAAAAAAATATATTATTAATCTGGCAAACCTCAATACAATCAAAAAGTTACCATATAAGCCAATATTCAAACATATGAAACATAGGAAAACAAACAATGAAAAACAGAGATAAGCTATTGAGTTAAAAAAGAAAAATCAGGTTACAAAACATACATAGTATAAACCCGATTATGTAAAAATCATAGTTCCATTAAGTCACAGCAGAGTTATTAGCAAAGGATGTACAAGAAAATACTGGCAGCTACTTCTGAGTGTGATTACCAGTTACTTCTACTTTCTTTTTATAGCTTTTAATGCTATTTGAATTGTTTACCACAAATCTTTAATATTACTATGAGATAGAGCGTAGAGAATCACACCCTAAGGCCAACTAAAGAACAGTTTAAAAGTACAATTATACTATAGGCATAGTAAATCAGTGATTTACAAACTGAGTGCCTTACACTTTCAGAGCGGAAATTAGGAGAAAAATGGTTAAACTTCTGCTAAGTCTGATGGAGTCTTACCTTTACTAGTTGCATAACTGTCAATAAACTGTTTGATCCCATGGCTGTTTCCCCAAATATAAAATGGAAATAATGGATCACCTATCTCAGAGTTATTGTGAAGATCAAGAAAATAAATGAACTTGGAACACTGTGTTTGGGATATAGTTAGATATTATTAGAAACTGAAAATCTGTACAGAAGAGCTCAGCCAGTTAAAAATTAAGAAATGTTTGTCTTTTTCAGGCTTAATCCCTACATTTCAAAAATAGGATATTTCTCTCTGCCCTGCTTTCTACAGGATAGTGTTAAGAGGGCCAAATAAATTAATATATAATGTATCTTAAAGCATTTCCTAAATGTTATGTAAGTACAAGAACTTTAACAAATACAGTCGATATAGATTAAATTAAACTGTGTCCAAAGGATGCACTATTAGCTGAAAGTTAATTCTTAATATTTATGTTGACAAAATAAATCATCTCACACAACTGTCCAATATAAATTATGTTCAAATTTTTCTCACAGATTGCATGATTAATTCTTGAAACATAAGTCTCAATTCTCCAGATATACAAATTTATCTTTTTATATTTTCATACAATTTCCATTATGATAATAACTGATCTGATGAGTGTCTCATATCCTAGGAAAATTAATTCAAAACGTAAGAATCTGAACCTTTGGTTTTTAAATTTTTTTCCTATTCTATTTCACTTCATGGTTTGATGTTTGTATGTGTGAGTTTTATACACAACATGACTATAATACAATTTATATGTAGTTTTTACACAATACTGTACTGATCAACTCAACATGTCTTTTTGACCTTCATGCATTCCCCCAACTGGCCATTTATCTGTCAATTTCACCTATATTTTTATTTGGCAGTCTCACTAAGCACATTAAGAATCAAATTCCTGCTTAGAGGTGCCAGGTACAATATGAAATCCATAAACGCAGAAGGCAGTCATAAGGAAGAAGTGGATTGAAATTCTCCAAAAAATCTATTACTTTCAGTTGGTAACTGTCCGAAGAATCTTTAAAAGGTATATTTTATAGCTGTCTTTTTAATAAGTGCCACCATATTATCCTATGAATCTGAGTATATCATTTTATATTGAAATACTATATATACTTGTTGCTCTCATCTATTATATTCCAAATTTCCTGACAGAAGACTCTCTGTGTCGAATGCATCTTTACACACTTGAACAATAATCCTAAATGAATTATTTTTGACATTTAGCTATGTTGCTTATGTTCTCCTTTTCTATCTCTAAGACATATCACTGGATCAGAAAAACACAATTTTTGTAATCAATCACCTACTCCAGTTCTAGATTACATGCAAATTTATAATCTAACATGCCCCAGTTATATTAACTCAGTTACTGTGGTGTAATTTTATGTTTTAAATTTTAAGGTTTTATCTTTACAGTATCTTTTTTACAATAGTGATTCTCTAGTTTTAGAGAGTGAGCAAGAGAGCTCAGAATGTAGATTCCAAGCAAATATCAAACATACTGATTTGGTAAATATGGAATGTATTGTACATGCAAACACTTTGACAGTACATACACAATGATCCAGGCACTTATCTGACACCCCTGTAATACATTCGGGATCTAAACATAGTTTGCTTCATTACAAAGCCCCTATCTGGCAGCCCGGCTACATGTAATTGTTCCGTAAGAGATAAATATCAAATCTCACACAGCAATGAGATTCAAGCCCTTAAATTTTTCCCCCTGCTGTGGCAGGCTCTTGGGGATCTAGATAAGAGACATTAGTACCCAATCTAAAGAATCTGTTCAATTAAGAAGGCATCTTTAAGATCATAAAAAGCTCTTTAAAATTAATACAATCCTACATACAAACAGTATGCACAGCACAAGAATAAGTCAACAAAATGCAAAGGCAACCTGTGGAATAGAAGAAAATATTTGCAAACCATTTGTCCGGTAGGACAAGGAATTAATGTCCAAAATATATAGGAAACTTACACAACTCAACAGCCAAAAACTCAAGCAATTCAATTAAAAAATTGACAGAGAAGCCAGATATTTTTCCAAAAAGACATACAAATAATCAATAGGTACGGGAAAGGGTGTTCAATAATTATCAGGGAAAAGGAAATCCAAAGTACAGTAAGATTATCACCTAACACTTGTTAGGATGTCTATCATCAAAAAGATAAGAGATAACAAATGTTGAGAAGAATGAGAACAAAGAGGAAATCTGCTCACTGTTGATGGGGATATTAAGTAGTATAGGCAGTAGAAAACCAGTACGGAGGTTTCCCAAAAAATTAAAAATAGAACTATCATATGATCTAACAGCCCCATTTCTGAGTATACATCGAAAGGAAATGAAATCACTATTCAAAGTTCATGCAAGTTCATGCCCTATGTTCACTGCAACATTTTTTACAATAGCCAGGACATTGGAAAAAACCCAAGTGTCGATGGATGGGTGAATGGATTTTTTATAAAGGGGTATAAGTATGTATACAATGGAATATAATTACTCAACCTAAAGAAGAATGAAATCTTGCCATCTCCAACATAGGTGAACCTGGAGGGTTCATTCTGTGAAATAAACTACACATAGGAAGACAAATACTGTACGGTATCAATACAAGGGAAAAAAAAAGATCTAACTCATAGAAACAAAGAGTAGAATGGTGGTTGATGTAAATAGGCAGAGGCTTGTAAAACGGTATAATTTTTCAGTTGAAGATGAATAAGGTCATAGGATCTAACTATAACATGGTGACTATAATTGATAAGAATGTACTGTATAACTGAAATTTGCTTGGGGTGTATAACTTGAGTGTTCTCACCAAAAAAAGAAAAAGAGGGGGAAAGTAGGTGAATACATGAGATGATGGATGCATTAATTCATTAACATGGTGGGAAACCTTTCACAATGTATATCAAATCATGTTAAAACATTTTAAATATATTACAGTATTATTTCTCAATTATACCTCAATAGGACTGGGGGGAAAAAAATCCCAGTCCTCTCAATATACTGATGTCCCCAGTTAGAGTATCCCCTCACCCCAAAACTCACTATATAATGTGGGAACATCATCTTGCCACTCCAAGAATTTATCCATTTTTACATTCAGTAGTATACTTGTGAAAACAAATTTTATTTGTTAAGTTTTCATTTTTTAAATACAATCCATATTCTTTTCCTTCATGCAATAGTTTAAATGCTCTTGGGCAGCAGTAATTATGTAATCCCATAAAGGATTCCAAGATTTCTTTAACATACTAACTAAAAGCATACTGGATAACGTTTTAATACCTATAATTACATTGTCTCTTCTGCCTCAAAAAGGAGAGGAAAATCATGGCATTACTCCTGCTCTATAGCCTGGTTTCTGAAAAGCTAATGAGTTGATTTTTGAAGATTTTCCTATGTTTGTAGTTACATTTTCATAATTTAGCTCCTTCAGATTCTCAGTTTATTCTAAGGATTCCAGCTACTTTGGAAACTTAAGAGATTCAGTCTTACTTACTTTTATAACAAACTTGCCCATTTATTCTAATGAATTTTTAAAAATAATCTTCAACCAATGCATTATTTTTATCAGACAGTCTCCTAACATTTTATAAAACTGTAGCCAAGTCATCCCAAAGTGGAATAACTTTCTTTCCCACTGATTCACACTTCTGTTCTACTTCCCCTTTAACTAATTTTGTACTTATGACACAGTTTTCACACCTATGACTTCATCGGTGGAACTTCACCAGTGGAAATGACTAATCCTTCTTCCCTTTAAGAAGACAAGTTATAAAAATGTCTGAACCCTTTATCAGGAGAGATGGGATGTAAGCAAGTTGAAAATGATAATCAGAAATTCAGAGCTCACAAATAAATCCTGAATATCCTGAGAAAAGAGACTTGAGTCATGCATACTATATAGACATATCCCTAAACCTTGAGATAAGATTAAAGCAAGTGCAATATAGCTTTTGTGATCAAAAAAAGCATTTTTTCATGTTGTTCTCTGACTATGATAAACTAGATAATTACATAAGATACTTCAGGAAGTTGGATTTGTATCTGATATTCAGATATACACATTATCCTTTTAGAAAATTTTATGTTTCATATCAAAAGATTCATAGAACATATTCAGAACAGCCTTGTCAGGGAGAAATTAAATTACTAGTCTAGCAATAAAGATGAAGTAGGTTTTATACTATGTGAGCCTAACATAGGTTAACTTATAAAAAGTAAACATAGCAATAAGAAAGATAGTTACTTTAATTCAATGTTTCCACCACATCCAACCTGTACATATACTGCTTTACCTATATTTTGCTACAAAAATTAGTTTTGGTTGAAAAGTCACAGGTGAGCAGACTGTAGCATATTTCTGGTTTGTCTCCTTTATCACTATTCTGAAGGCTGATTTCTTGAAAAGTTTACATGGTTAATCAGCTTACCCAAAGTACAGATACAGTGAAGCAAAGAAGTAAATTCACTTTCATAGGGAAATAGCTTTGCATTTCCTTTTAAGAGCAGAAAACATCAATCCTGTATAACTATCAATCCCCTAGTCCTACCCTAGTAAGTACAGAAATCACATATTTTGTTCTGGAGATTTTTTTAGTAGCAGGTAGAGGGGGGAAAATGGTTATATTATAGCTACAATTTTCATATAATCTCTATGTAGTCCTTATAGTCTTTTAACAACAAATAATTAAGAAATAGCCACAGTGGTTATGAATTTCGTGTGGGGGGTAGTATTTTGTTACCTTAACTTATAAACCTACTCACATCCAAGTTATTTATTGCTAACAACTCATATTATTATATAATCATCTTTTTCATGAATGGGTTACCCTTAGGATGAGCCGTACCATGTGGATCACTCGCTCCTGCACACTCCCACTTCCTAGTGATCTTACAGATCCTACATTCTCAACTGCCCTGAATTCTCAACTACTCTATGGCCCCAAACAAGGTGAAAAAACAGAGGAACAGTGCTATGGAAATCATAAAAAGGTTATACTCCCTGTAGCTAAGGCACCATTCATTCAGTGGGTAATAGAAAATGACCATGCATGTTAGTTTGCTGTTTCATACTGTTCATGGGGTTCTCAAGGCAAGAATGCTGAAGGGGTTTGCCATTCCCTTCTCCAGTGCCTAAAGAACTAAGGTCAGAGGTTAATACACTGTACAGGAGGCAGTGATCAAAACCATCCCCAAGAAAAAGAAATGCAAAAGGCAAAATGTCTGAGGAGGCCTTACAAATAGCTAAGAAGAGAAGAAAAAGGCAAAGGAGAAAAGGAAAGATATACCTATCTTGAATGCACAGTTCCAAAGAAGAGCAAGGAGAAATAAGAAAACCTTCCAAAGTAAGCAATGCAAAGAAATAGAGGAAAGCAAGAGAGTGGGAAAGACTAGAAATCTCTTCAAGAAAATTAGATACCAAGGGAACATTTAATGCAAAAATGGGCACAACAAAGGACAGAAATGGTATGGACCTAACAGAGACAGAAGATATTAAGAAGAGGTGGCAAGAATATACAGAGGAACTACACAAAAAAGATACAAAATGCCAGACTGGATCAATCACAAGATAAAATTAAGATTGCTGGGAGAAATATCAACAACTTCAGATATGCAGATGACACCACTCTAATGGCAGAAATGAAAAGAAACTTTAGAGCCTCCTGATGAAGGTGAAAGAGGACAGTGAAAAGGCTGGCTTAAAACTCAACTTTCAAAAACTTAAGATTATGGCATCCAGTTCCATCACTTCATGGCAAGTAAATAGGGAAAAAGTGGAAACAGTGACAGATTTTATTTTCTTGGGCTCCAGAATCACTGTGGACAGTAACTAAAGCCACTGAATTAAGAGAAGCTTGCTCCTTAGAAAAAAAGCTATGACTAACCTAGACAGCATATTAAAAAGCAGAAATCATTTTGTAGACAAAGGTCCATCTAGTCAAAGCTATGGTTTTTTCCAGTAGTCATGTATAGATGTGAGAGTTGGACCATAGGGAAGGCTAACTGCCAAATAATTGATGCTTTTGAACTGTGGTGCTGGAGAAAACTCTCATGAGTCACTTGGACAGCGAGAAAATCAAGCCAGTCAATCATAAAGGAAATCAACCCTGAATATTCATGGGAAGGACTAATGTTGAAGCTCCAATACTTTGGCCCACCTGATGCAAAGAACCAACTCATTGGAAAAGACCCTGATGCTGGGAAAGACTGAAGGCAGGAAGAGAAGTGGGAAATAGAAGATAAAATGGTTGGAGGGCATCACCAATTCAGTGGACATGAGCTTGAGCAAACTCCAGTAGATAGTTAAGGACAGGGAAGCCTGACATGTTGCAGTGCATGGGGTCGCAAAGAGTCGGACACAAATGAGTGACTGAACGACGACAAGTGCATATTAGTTTCAACTTATTAGCTCATAAATTATTACATTAATATAGCTAATGCTACATTAATCCTTTAAGTCAACTACTTTTGAACACATTACTTTTACTGAGATTCTATGAAGTTTTTATTATATTGGGGTATTATCCAATTGTTTTTATTCTTAACCTTAGGAGGCAAGTATATTTAACTTATTTTACTAATAAAACAAAGCAAGACTTAATTTATCCATTTTTCTCAAGGTGAAGCAGCTAATTAGGTTTCTAAAGTAATGTATGTTCTCTTAGAAAGCCTTCCTTCTCTGTATTATATTATAAAAATTTTCCTAAAGACAGAATAGTTTAGAGGCAAAGTGAAAGCTGTTATGTTCTTCTACATAGCCAGGAAGGTACAGCATAAAGTGAGTAAGCTTAGCACACACTTTTTTTCTAATAGTTTCATAGAAAACACAACTTGACCACATTTGCCTTTTGTAATGTTTAGCTCAAAGTCTTCCTGTCAAATGGCCTTTTCTTCAAATGGAAAAGAATAAAGAGGAAAAAAAGTGTGGAGAAATTTTGGCAGAAAAGGTGACTTTCAATTATGACAGGCACAGGAATAAGAGAATTATCGTGATGCTAAATTGATAAGAGCATAACATCTAAAAACATTAAAATAAAGGCAGCTTTAAATACCTGCATCCTCTAGATAGTTTATAACATGTTAGTGTAAAAATCAGTGACATTTAGATTTTCTCAGGTTTTTTCCTTAGATAAGTAAATTTCCTTCTATTTGCAACTTTTGCGTTTACTGGTTTAGGAGTTAGCTTTCTCAATGGCCTCCGGTTAGCAGCTGAAGAAGTACCTTTCTTTGCTGGTGGTTCATCTTGTTGAAGTTCAATTTCACTTAATCTTTTTCTTCCTGAATACGTTTTAGTTTTGCTGTCCTTAGACATTTCAGTCGTTTCATTACAAACCAATTTATTGTTTATTATTAAAGAAGAATTACCAACATTGTCCTAAAGTAAAATAAATTAAAATTAGTTCACATATAGAAAGCTATAAGAACTATATAAATTAAAATTCAATACTGCATCATAAAAATTGTATTTTCAAGTTTGTTGAGACATTTTCTAGGTTATTTCCTAAGTCTCACCCTACACTAAAATAACTGATGACTCTATGAAATAAGTAATATTAACTAACTTGTAAAATCACTAAGGAGGACCCCCCAAAAAACAAAAAGGAAGTGTGTAGTTTCATCCTGATACCAAAACTAAAAACAAATTCATCTTTATATTTTCTAAGAAGATCAGGTGGTTTAGAGACTTATTTGCAGATAACCAACCTAAAACACTGACCTCTAAATCATAAACAAAATGAGCTTTGAAAAAGAGAAATAGGAAAACACTATGACATAATTGCTCCTTATACTTTCACTTAAAATTTTGAGTAATCATGAATAACTAGAAAACATCATTTTGTTTTGCAACCAAAGCTCAAAGTAACCATGTCCTACACTTTAACAAATCCCAGAAAAAGTTCTAATCTTAGCTTCTAGCGTTTGTATATTCAAAGATACACAATCTACATACTGCTTTAAAACTGAGCTACTAGTTTATCTAGATGAAAAAGAACATTTAGATTTTCATTTTTTAAAGCAAAGACTACACCTCCCTAATAGGACAGCAGAAAGGTACACAGAAAGAAGGGTGAAACCTTAGCAATTAAGTGCATGTTTATAAAGTAATTAAAGGTTTGGGAAAGGCAGAGATTAATTAATTCCCTACATACTGGTAGCAATCCATTTGTGGGGGGCAGGTAGGTGGTGGGTAAAACTATACGAGAAAATAAAACATCATTTTATATTAGAAAATCATCACTTTGTTAAGAGATACAGATTAAAATGATTTTAAGTCATAAAGTAATGATTAAAAATTTAAAAAAAGCAGTCTTTTTAGATAGCCCTAAACAAAGAATATCATGAAGAACAACCTTTATGCTTTTTCACAATTAGTCCCTTGGTGTCACTGATAAGTGACAATGTCTTGGGATGGAGGAATCAGACGTCTGACAAAGTCTGAGTTTTCAAACAGTCCATGACAATTTTAAGTTGTCCCCCCTTCCACATTCAGACGTATTATAATCACCTAATCATTTTTCTCCTCTTCAAATTATACAATCTTCACCAAGAAAAAAAATCTATCCTCCACAAGTGTCCGTTACCAAAAGGAATATTTTCTGCCTAGAGTATTCTTGGTAGGAAGGATGCTAGAGAGCCATTCAAAACAAACTTTTAATCATTAAAAGAGTCTGCTCTGGACTCTTTGGAACAGTGACCCTAGATCAACAGTTGATCAACACAGTCAGGTTAAGTTCTAATTTACTTTGCATTTGTTTATTTACGTGAACAATTTAATTAGCACAGTTTTAAGTCAGTTGATAAAACAGTCTAGAGCCTATCTAAAAAATTTACTCAAAGGCAAGGATTATTAAGAATATTGCTTACTTTATATTTCTTTTTTACTATTAGTTACATAAACATTATTAACATTATGTGATATGTAAACATACTACAGAAATAGATATAATCCCCTGCTAAAATTCCAACAATCTTCTTCAAAGTTGTAGGCACTAGAAGTGATCTATCTCTGGCTTCTCTTTTTCTGATTTGTTTTCCGTTTTTCTCTTAACCTTTAACAAATCTAAGGCTGGACTTAAAATTCAGATCAAGTCCTAGGAGCTCAGCTGGTAAAGAATTCACAGGCAATGCAGGAGACTCCAGTTCGATTCCTGGGTCAGAAAATGCCCTGGAGAAGGGATAGGCTATCCACTCCAGGATTCCTGGGCTTCCCTGGTGCTCAGCTGGTAAACAATCCAGCTGCAATGCAGGAGACCTGGGTTCGATCCCTGAGTGGGAAAAGCCCCTGGAGAGGGGAACGGCTGCCCACTCCAGTATTCTGACGTGGAGAATTCCATGGACTATATAGTCCATGAGGTCGCAAAGTCAGACAGACTGAGCAACTTTCACTCACTCACTCAGAACAAAAACAGGTGGCAAATAATCATCTCAAAATGCTAACAGCCTGGAGGTCCAGCAATTCATTTACTTGAAAAAGTAAAAAGCCCTAAGTTGTAAAAAGTTTTATCTCCTTTTATTTCACAAATCAATTTCTACTTCTTAATCCATACCACCACTACCCAACTACCTTAAATCACCACCACTACCCAACTACCTTAAATCAAAGTCCTCATCAACTATCACCTGAACTTTTCAAAGAGTTTTCTAGTTGGTCTCCCAGCCTTCATTCTAATTCCACCTCAATCCCATCTTCCAAGTTTCTAAAAATATCAACTCAAAATAAAAAATCAACTTTGCTATTCTTCTCCTTAAAATTAATGACTCCTTGCTGCCTACAGAATACAACCCAAATGCTTTAATGAAGTATTTAAGGCCTTCTGCTTCCCTGTGGCTCAGATGGTAAAGAATCTGCCTACAATGCAGGAGATCCGGGTTTTATCCCTGGGTCACGAAGATCCCCTGGAGAAAGAAATGTCAAACCCACTCCAGTACTCTTGAGTGGAGAATCAATCCCATGGACAGAGAAGCCTGGAGGGCTGTGGTCCATGGGGTCGCAGAGTCAGACACAACTGAGCGACTAACACATATGCTATCTTACCCCAGTCTACTGCTCCTAGCATCATTATTCACCTCTTCTGCTTCAAACTTTCTTCTTGAGCAAATTATTAAAACTTACACTTTCTTACACTGACTGAAAGGCTTCTCCTATGTCCATGACTGTGCATTCTGATTCTTTTATCTAGAAAGCCAGCGTATCTTCTTGTCCCTCACACCCACCAACTGCTCCTACTTTGGACTAGAAAAATTTCACTTGCCATTTAAGATTCAAGTTAATCATTTTCATCTGCACAAAATAGATTCTCTCAAACCCTATCTATTCTCAGCTTCTCATACACATTAACTACCACTGCACATTTCATTATAAATACATTTATGTTGGTTTTCTCTTACAGGGGAGTTGTTAAGGGGAGTAGTTTTTATTAATCTGTGTAATGCCTAGAATCCAGCAGAGCACCTGGCACACAGAATCTCAGTTTTTCTTGACAAAATAAATCATTCTATGATTCTCCTCCTAACTCTCTACCTTACTACAGGGGTATTTCTCCCAGTTCAGAAAAGTTAAACAATAATACATATAACAGATGTGAAAAAAATCCAATATATAATTATAATTATTAATTATATTACCAATATAATTTGTTGATAACTATATTAACATAAATTCTAAACTGTTAACATAATTATTAATTTACAATAATGTATTCAACAGAAGTGACAAAGTCAGATGGAATGAATAATGCATCTAATAAATGCCAAAAGAGAGGTCTGCTACAAGAAATTAGACAGAGGATGAGCTATGTCTCTCTAGAGAATGTTCCTTATTTACCCCTGTAGAATCAAAAACCTATCTGATGTTGAGATGATACAGAGAAAGTTGTGGTTACTGGTTTTCAACTCTAAAGACACAAAGAAGGGTCAAATGTAACATTTTATAATACAGTAGTCCCTACTTACCTGTAGAGAATACATTCTGAGACCTAGCAGTTGCCCAAAACATGGAAATATTGAATCCTATATACACTATGCTTTTTCCTGTACATGTCTACAAAGTTTAGTACATGTTTAAAGGTTAATTTAAAAATTAAGCACAGGGACCTCCCTGGTGGCCCAGTGGCTAAGACTTCCTGCTCCCAGTGTCGGGGACTCAGGTTTGATCCCTGGTCAGGAAACTAGATCCTACATGCTGCAACTAAAGATCCCTCATGCCACAACTAAGATCTGGCAGAGCCAAGTAATTTTTTTTTTAAATTAAGCACAGAATGAGATTAACAATAATAAAATAGAACAATGATAACAATATAGCATAATAAGTTATGTGAATTCAGCCTCTATTGCTCTCAAAATTACCCTGTACAAATTTAATGCTTTTTACATCTTAAGCACTTATGCTCTATGGCCATAACTTTTGCAGCTTGAGGTGTAACAGCAAAACTAGCACAAATTTTCTTTTTCCTTCTTCACAATTTCACAAATAGAAGATTCATTCTTACCATAGATCTTAGCAACCTCAGCATACAATTTTTTTCTTTCCTTATTGAGAATTTTCACCTCTACTTTTAAACAAAGCACTTTATAGCTTCTCTATGACATATCCAAATTGTCAGCATCACTACTCTTCTGCTTTGGGGGCATTATTAAGCAAAATCAGCATTACTCAAACACAGCACTATGATACCAACAACAGACAATCTGATAAACAAGACTAACAGGAGGGATATGCTAGACAAAGGGATGAGTCAGGTCAGGAAGGATGGAGCAATATGGCGTAAGATTTCATCATACTACTCAGAACAGCACACAATGTAAAACTCATGAATTATTTCAGGCATTTTTCATTTAATCCTTCTAACCAGGGTTAACCCACAGAAACTGAAACTGCAGATAAAGGGGAATTACTGTATACCACACTTGCCTCTGTTAGAGAAAAGACATACAAAAGCAGAGAATTTTAGCTATTAATTTACTCAACCTATTGTGTTATTAACATTATGTCAAAAAATAATTTGAAGGTACCTGCAATAAAAAATGAATATAAAAGAAAGCCAAAAACCACTGTTTAATTAAAAAAATGACTAAAAGGCTGATCATCCAATCCTAAACTACCTAAATATAAAATTACCTAAATTTCTATTTATGAAAGGCTACTTAAAAACCCTTAAAATGTTGTAGTTTGTTTTTTAGTCACTGAATTGTGTCCAACTCTTTAGCAACAGTATGGAGTGTAGCCCACAAGGCTCCTCTGTCCATGGGATTCATCAGGCAAGACACACTGGACTGGGTTGCCATTTCCTTCTGCAGGGGATCTTCCCAACCCAGGGATAGAATCCATACCTCCTGCATGGCAAGCGGATTCTTCACTACTGAGCCCTGACAAGCCCAAAAAGGCTTTATATGCTATAGTTAATACTGTAATTTTTAAAAGAAAACATCCCTGCTATTAAACATATGAACTTTGACAAAATTTACAAAATAGAAACAAGCTTCTAAAACCTAATGTCATTTATAGTTCCATAGAGATGGACGTACAGATATAGACAGATGTATCAATAGAGTAGAGCTACACAGAGACAGAGATCTTTATGGTCTGTGGATATCAAAGCACATCTAAGTTTCTTTCACCCCAGAGCTCCCCATCCAGTTTGCTGAGGCTTAAACTTCTAAGGGCTACACAGTCTTGTCCCTCTTATGCGCAAAGCATTCCCAATTTAGTTTGTGGAGATCAAACTGCCACCTTCTAAGTTCTCAAAAATTCATATTGGCATGATAGTGAATTGAATTCAATGCCAAGATAAGCAAGTCAACATTCTTAGTGAATTAGTCTCAGTTGTATAAGCTATTTTAAACTATTTTAAACCAAACCAAACATATTCTTTATTTAATTTATAACACAAATAAAGTTAGATTCTTACACTGCCTTTAAATGTGTTTTCCATATGAAATTTTAGGTTCTGAAACTTGTTAATAGTATCCTCTTTTTGGTCAATTTTATCCATCAACTCTTGAATTCTTTGATTCTGCATAATTATTTTCTTTGGGAAGGAAAAAAGTTTAGTGAATGTACTTTGGGGATAACTAGAATGCAAATATGATACAGTTTAGAATTCCTTCAAATTTTAAGGTTAGGCAAAAAAAAAAAAAACAGTAATTCACTATGCATAGCCTGACTTTATTTTCATTTAAAAAATCAACATGCCTAAATACAAAAGGAAAGAGAAGCAATGTTTCATAATGGGTAAGAGGAATCAGAAGTCACATGATCTGGGTTTGAATCTTAGCTTCTCTACTTTCCAGTTGTGAACCCCAAGCAAGTTATTTAACGCCTACGTAAAAAAAAATAACAGTATCTACATCATAAGGTTGTTCTGAGACTTAAACAACTAAAGAACTTAAAAGAGTTCATAGAAAATGTTCTATAAAAAATACATATATATGTGTATGTGTGTGTATGTGTATATACATAAAATAATCTCAAAGAGCTATCAACCAAGTTGGTTTGGATTTGTTTTCAATGTAAGAGAAACATTATGGGGGACTACTGTACCTTCTATTTTATAGTTTAATATAACAGTATGTTTATAAGCAGCAGCTATTTTTATAAATAGGAAAAAAGAAAAGAAAAGGAGGAGAATAGGAACTGTCTAAACAATAGCTAAAATGTCTTGTATTGAGTACATTATTTTGGTTATCTTCTTAAGTACTGAATTATTTATATCTGATCATATGTTAAAATATTCAGCTCTTTAGAAGAACAAATGTAAGTTAAGAGAAGGTCAGGAAAAATACTAAGTTTAGAGTTTTAAATTCACTTCACCTCTATGTATACCTGCAATTTCATACTTAGATCTAACAATGCCAAATCCATCTACAACCACTTACAGTAATTATCTGATCTGAAGGTATAAAGTGCTAGAGATTTTCAGATTCTGATGCTGCACACTGATCAGGACACATCCTAAATTTTAAAACAGTAACTTCAGACAAGATAAATGCTATTTAAATAATCTACTTAACACAATGCACCTGGTAAAAGAATGACATAGAGATGATTCTCTGGCAGCACATACAGATCTAAGATGCCTTCTAAGGGAAGAAAGCAAGACACAGAACTACAATCCTATTCGTATAAATTTTTTAATAAATGTATGTTACACACATACATACACGTATATCTACACATATACAAATAAAATCTTTTCTGGGAAGACCAAAGAAACTTTCCAGAAACCATATGTGGAAAAAGGTATGAGAGTGAAGGCACTTATATGCTCATCAATTATTCATGCTGTCTATTTTACTTATTAATTTTCTTATCAAGATAAAATAAAGCTTAAAAGCATTACCTTATTAGATTTCTCAAGCTCTTGAACCAATGAATTTAAATTAATTTCTGATTCTGAAAAAGTAAGAATATTAAAAATAAACATCTAAGTACCTAAAAAAATAAATCGCTAAATAAACATGAAACATAAGCTGCTACAGTAGACACTTCATTGTTATACTCAGGAAAAAGAATTTTCACAGCACTAGAAGCACACAAACAGCTACAAATTCTACCACCAGAAAGTAATGTTTCTGAAAGAGCCACTTTCAAAATCCAGGGCAAAAGTGAATGCTGTCTGCTCAACAGTAGAAAATTTCTGGAATAATGTCAGAAGAGAAATAGCGTATACCTTTCTGACCCACTTCATAATGAGGCATCACTTATCTGCTATTTTCCACCCATCTTGTTTCACACAGAAAAGGGCAGAGTATTTCATCTAATACTTGAAACTCAGATGTGACAATCCCTCCCAGTTCCCCACCATCACACACACACATATAAATGAACAAACTTTACAGCTTTACAATTTCCTATGAGATTTCTTAATTTGCTGATAAAGCTATACTTAGGTTTTGGTTTTTCCTGAAAGTCTGTTTTCTAATAATATTAGTCTTAAAGTAAAGAAAAGCAAAAATATATTCTTACTAATAAATTACTGTAAACTCATACAAATGGTAAAATATTAAATGTCACCTCCATCATTTTCTGACCACTTGGTAAATAAGCTGCATAAATCCCATACTTACCAACCATCTTTTTAAGAATTTATAACATCTACATAGGGATATAATACAACCACTTACCACTTTCTCTCTTTTTTAACTCTTCTTGGGTTTTGATTAATTCTTCTTTGGTTTTAGCTAATTCAGCTTTAACTTGATTAAACTTTATTTCTAAACAAGCAATAGCTTCCTGGGGGTCAGCAAGAGATGCAATATATAAGTGAGCAATTTCAGCCTGTTTCTTAATACCAGTGACATCATCTTGAAGAGAATCAATAATATCTTCAATTCCTACATAATTATGTCCTTCCTAAAAATAGCAAAAACCACATGCCTAATGTTAACAGTGGCTTTCACTACTTCAGTGTGGTACCATCTAGCGTGTTTTAAAAATAAATAGGAAAACAAATGCACAACTTACAATTTTTTAAACATATTTATGTTTTTCTATTAGGTGACTATAGATATGTTTATGTTTTCTTATATAGAAGTAGCTCCAATAATGAAAAAGATGTGCTCCATTAATCATCTTCTATTTTATGGAACATGAGACATTATTTCTCCATAAGAACAATGTCTTACCGAGTTTACAGAACAATTATAATTATCTAGTTCAGGTATACTCTTAGTCATATAATGAGTCTTTAAAAGACTTTTGGTTGAGCTGAAGAAACAAATCCTCATTTTCACGATTCAGACTAAATCCCAAACTATATCAGGGACACAGAATGATGGTTTGACGGCAAGAGCCTAGACATTATCATCCTGGACCTCTGAACTGAGTAATTAAAAAACAGAGCAAAACAAAAACAACCAACCATTCCAAAAAGATGTGATTAATTTCAGCTTCCGTAGAAGCAGCAGAAGAGAAAAACATTTCCTCAACAGTAGAGAATGGTTATTCAGCCAAGCAAGAGTGAGTTTTCTATATATAAATATTTTTGTTTTAATCAGAACAGAATTAAATGACCCTACAGGTCTGTCAGCCAAGATGTAAAATTCTTAAGTTTAAAACAAATCTGAGTGGGTATCCCATAATCAGACAAAAAGCAATCTACTTACAAACTACACAATGACTCAAGCCACATCAAACTGAGATATAAATGTAAAAGGTATTTTTTTCTAAGTTCAATAGCTATATTTTAACTATTTGTGATTACATTCCTAACAAAGCACACTTACTCATAATAAAGTCACATTTTTTTTAATTCTGAAGTATATTAAATTATCATTGATGTCATATACTAAATCTGGTACCTATAATTCATGTATTTAATATTTCAGTTAACATACTTCAGTTTCATCTTTCATGGTATGATCTTCATTCTTTGGTTCCTCCTGAGTATCACATTTACCAATCAAATCCTTGAAAATAGCCAAACGACATTCAGCATTTTCTTCTAAAATTTCTCGCTCCTGAAGGAGAGTTTCCCTTCATAACAGAAATTAATCCCATTAAGAAACAGAAAAACCACTACTTTACATTTTTATTTTAAATTTCTAAGATTAAGCACATTATAAATTAAAGTGAAAGTGTGAAAATGTTAGTAGCTGAGTCGCGTCAGACTCTCTGCGACCCCACTGAATAGCCCACCAAGCTCATCTGTCCATGGGATTTTCCAGGCAAGAATATGGAAGTGGGTTGCCATTTCCTTCTCCGGGGATCTTTCCGACCCAGGAATCAAGCCCAGGTCTCTTGTATTGAAGGCAGATTCTTTACCATCAAACAGTAAATAAAAAGACTTATAAATTAAAAGTCAATTTAAATAATCACTCATATATAATTCACAATCACCATGGGATTAGTAATAGCTATTTTCAAGCTTGCATAAAGATGGTAAATGCTTAAGTTTGAGTTTAAAGTTAGTCTGTCAAAATATAAAGTTGACATGTTACACAGAGCAGTTACTGCGAATCCCCAGTTTTCAAAATGGCAAAGCGAAATATTACATATTTTATTGGGTTTCTATGACTACCCAAATGCAAGCAACAACTCTGTCTTTGAAAGCACACACATAATTAATCATGTAATATGGACAATAAACAATAAAACAATTAAAATTTGACATTATAGCCAGTATAGGTATGTAAATTGTAGCAGTCAAGAAAAGAGCCTGATAGTCTTTTTTAAGGTTTCTAATTAAAGTTTCTCAATAATAAACTAATAAACTCTCAAAGCTACAGATCTTTTATCAATTTTATACTTGAAAATATTTTACAGATATCTTGCCTTTGAAATTCTAAGAACTTCTACTGAGGAAATAATTTTATATTTTGGCTATAAAATAGTCACTGTGTTTTTTGCAACGAGTGGTTTTATGTAAACAAAAAAGTAAAATGCAACTCAACAGTCAAACTTAAGAAATGGGTTCAACTATGGTACCATCATACAGTAAAACTACTGTAATGGATTATGATGACATATTTACTATTCATAATTTCCACAATTTATTTTTAAATGAAGAAAATCAGTTAACAATATTGTAACAAACAGTAAAAATCTATTAACATGACCAGTAGATTTAGACACATTTATATTTATTTCCCTTTTTCTTTTTTTCTAGATTCTATCATGATTATATAATACTTTTATAATTTTAAATAACCACAGACTTTCCCACTGTTTAAAACAATAAATATTTAATAGTAACTAATAGTAACTATTGAAGAAGAGGGGCTTCTCTAAAGGATCAGATGGTAAAGAATCCATCTGCAATGTAGGAGACCCAGGTTCAATTCCTGAGTGGGAAAGATCCTCTGCAGAAGGGAATGGCAAGCCACTCCAGAATTTTTGCCTGGGAAATCCCACGGACAGAGGAGCCTGGCAGGCACAGTCCATGGGGTCACAAAGAGTCAGACGGGACTTACTAATACTTTCACTTTTCACATTGAAGAAGAAATGTGGGAGACTCAAGAGAAATCTGTATGAATGTGGGAATACCTTGGGAAATTGGTTTCTTTCAGTAAGTCTCAACAACAACTAGTTTTCTATCACTGTTAGTATCTGATAAAGTATTGAGTGAAAAAAATTCTGGTTAGTTATTCAAGTTAAACGAATTTTAAGCATAAACATGTTACTATCAATATACTTCATAATGATTTTTAATACATTTCATAATGATCTTCAATACTGACGACCCTCTAATTAATAAAATGCTAACAATGTAAAGCATGAGAAGCCTAATCATTTTCATTTTGAGAAGTATTACAAAAAACTTGGATGAAAATTTTAATTTTGAAGTACCTAGTCAATATTATCGGAGAAGGCACCCCACTCTAGTACTCTTGCCTGGAAAATCCCATGGATGGAGGAGCCTGGTGGGCTGCAGTCCATGGGGTCGTACAGAGTTGGACACGACTGAAGTGACTTAGCAGCAGCAGCAGCAGTCAATATTATAAGATATGCATTTACACTATATAATCCTACATAAATGGCATTATTTTTCCTATATAAATTCATAGACTACTAACATAATAAGTTTAATGAACATCATATTGATATATAAACTTCAGTTTTGAGATAAAAATATTAAATTACGACTATTAATGACTTAGCCTACTTTTTCACTGATGGAAGTACTACATTACAGAGATCCAGGGTAAACCAGGTTCAATCACATAGTGAGCAGATATACTAGGACTAATGGCATCTGAAGCTTTCATCTTCATTTCTAAGCAACAAAGGCACAAGAATGGCTTTCAGGGACACTGGAATAAACTATTAAGATGAGAGTATTTAACTCAATATATCACTGATCTACTTAAATTTCTACAGTCTGAAAGAGTACTCTGATGTCAGATTCGTCAATACCACTGAAGTCAGTTAATGAGGGGAACCAGTAAAGTGGACAGGATCTGTATTTCAGAACTGTGTGCATGTGTGCTCACTCGGTCATGTCTGCCTCTTTACAACCCCATGGACTGTAGCTCGCCAGGTTCCTCTGTCCATGGGATTCTCCAGGCAAGAATATTAGAGCAAGTTGCCATTTCTTTCCCCAGGAGATCTTTCTGACCCAGGGATCAAACCTGCATCTCCTACCCTGGCAGGTGAATTCTTTACCACTGAGCCACGTGGGAAGCCGTATTTCAGGATTAATGAAACTTAAATATATGTATGAATTTTATTTGGACAGAAATTATAAGAAACACCAATAAATCTTATTTGTTTCCATAAATGTAAGATGATCAAGTGATTTCTGTTTTGAATAAATAGAATAATCAGTACTAGGCACACATTTTGTACTCTTGTACTTAAGACTGCAAGGTAAAATTTTGGAGGAGTACGCTAAAATCACAGGGTGAAAGGATACTGGGGAACAATGAAAGGAGATCTGAAACACAACACAGAGTTAACAAAAACTCTGCTTCACCAAAAATGGAGAAATCAGACATTGTCTGCCTCCTAATGTGACTCAACGGGAAATTCACAACTTCACATATGTAACAGGCTTGCCTAAAGTGTTAAACCTTCTTAAAGTGTTAAATCATCTTATATAAGATGATCCAGACTGGAGGTTTTCTACAAGACAACTAATCACAAAGTTTCAAAAATATCTATGATAGATTAGAGATTAACTAAAGAAACATGATAATCAGACGCAATGTATTGAGTTGTAGATCAAAAACAAAGTGGTTATGAAAGGAAATAGTGGGACCACTAGAGAAATCTTGATATGGACAATACAACACTACGTTACTGTATTAATGTGTAAGTGCTTAGGTATGAAAATGGCCTTTTGATTGTGAGGAACATGTCCATGTTCTTGAGAAACATGATGAAGTAGTTAGTTGTAAGGTGTCATTATGTCTGCATCTTGTTTTCAAATGGTATAGGCAAAAAAGATGTGTATTCACACTCACAGAAAGAGAATATAAAAATGGCAAAATGTTAACAATTGGCAAATCCAGATGAAGTACAAATGAGTATTCATTATATTATTCTTTCTATGGGTGTGAAAATTTTCAAAACATGTAAATGAAAGATAAACTTAGTGTATTGTTGGAAAAAAATGGGAGAAAGAGCCTTAAGAATTACTAACCATAACTTCAGAATAATAAATAAGCCAATTTTAGAAGTATGAGTTAATACATACTCTCTTCCCCGCATGGCTACTGAAAGCCTTATCATCCTCTAATGTATTATCTAGATCTTCATCAGTAAATTCAGTTTCCACATTCTGCTTTTCTTCAGCTTTTTCTAGATCCTCAACCAAATCTTCATCTTCCACCACATCTTCTAGACTACTTTCCCATGAAATCGTGGATCTTTTTCCATTTAGTATTTTATTATCTGAATTATTAATATCTAATGATTCATCTTGAGAAGATTTGACAGGCCCAAATGATCTCTCTTGAGAGCAATTTAAAATATCTGGAACACAAACCTGGTAAAATATGCAATGTAACTTTTAAAACAAAGGCAAAAACTGTCAACAAAGAAAAAACAATTATAAATTTAAGTCAAATGACAACTTGAGAATTAAAAACAAAAATCTATACAAATATACAAAAAGGAATTAGCACACTCAAATACATATTTGATAAGAAAAAAGCTAATTACACATGTATACTACAGATAAATCTACTTTCCTGGGTTAAGGTCTTTCCTTAGTACCATTCCCCAGCAGGGGGTTTCCTGATTAGCCACTAAATAAGCCAAATGGACAGCAGAGCATGTAATTCGCTGCATATCTGCAATCAGTAACGGGTACGTTAGTTATTGCTGAGGTCATTTTACTCTTAAGCAGGGGTAACTTTCCATTTTCTTCCTATACCTAATACTCAAATATTACATTGTTAATTTTCAATTATTTTCTAGGTTTACAGCTGTAAGTGCAAAATGTATTATCTACTCTAAGAAAAAAAATCATTACTACTCTAATAATACAAAGCTTAACAAATTCTGAAATTTAGCTATATTTACTTTTTGTGCAATGGCTGAGAACTTCAACACATTGAGTGTCTCATCATAGGCAAAAGAACATTGGCTGATGTTGACAATCATACATATCTTCCCTTTACCATTAAAAAAACTTTGAAAATAGTGGGTCAATTTACTTTCCCGGAAAGGCACATGCTGTTGAAACCTATGAAAAAAATTTTCAAAAATTTAAAGTTAAAATGAATCTCATAAAGTCAGGATACTGATAAATTTTACAAAGAAATAACATAACAACCATTGACTTAAATTCTAGGTTAGTGATTAGTTTCATTTGTACTAGTCATTTTCTGTTTATTCATGTTGTTTTCTCTAAACACTGCTACTATTAATACTGATAGTAATAACCAACTAGGCAAAATGTAAAGGAAATCACAATGAAGTGGGTTGTGTTCTCTCAGTTCAGTCACTCAGTCGTGTCCGACTCTTTGCGACTCCATGAATCACAGCATGCCAGGCCTCCCTGTCCATCAACAGCTCCCAGAATTTACTCAAACTCATGTCCATCGAGTCGGTGATGCCATACAGCCATCTCATCCACTGTCTTCCCCTTCTCCTGCCCTCAATCCCTCCCAGCATCAGGGTCTTTTCCAATGAGTCAGTTCTTCACATCAGGTGGTCAAAGTATTGGAGTTTCAGCTTCAGCATCAGTCCTTCCAATGAACACCCAGGACTGATCTTTAGGATGGACTGGTTGGATCTCCTTGCAGTCCAAGGGACTCTCAAGAGTCTTCTCTAACACCACAGTTCAAAAGCATCAATTTTTCAGCACTCAGCTTTCTTCACAGTCCAACTCTCACATCCATACATGACCACTGGAAAATCCACAGCCTTGACTAGACGGACCTTTGTTGGCAAAGTAATGTCTCTGCTTTTTAATATGCTATCTAGGTTGGTCATAACTTTCCTTCCAAGGAGTAAGCGTGTTCTCTAGTGTATAGCAATTATGCAATATATACACCATAACTAGAAAATGGTAAAGGCTGGATTTATCATTTACTTAGCCTAAAATGCTAGTTAATACAGAAATCTATCACATCTAGAAAACCACAATGCATTGATAAGAATAATATGGTTTCAAAGTCTGTCAATAAACCAGCATTAGAAGCTTATTATCTAAGTTGTCAATTGATACATATTTGCTATAGAAAATACTGTGTTTACCTGAGTCACTGGCATTGACTGATAATGATTTTCATTTCTATCATTTTTTAAATCCAAAATCTCTAAGAAATTTTAATTATAATCCATTCTTAGTCATTACATAAGAAGCAAGTTAAAAACAAAAGAACTTTCTTAAACTAGCAAAGCTGAAAGTTTAAATATTATTAAAATAATCCTTGATATGCTGATAACATATTCAGCAACGCTTACTTTGACTTTTCACTGTTCTTCAAAACACTGATACACTTTCCCAGAGTCAATAAAGAAGTGTTGATGTTCCCAGTCTCTCTTAACCTTTCACCTTCATTCTGGGTCCTCATGCTTCGTTCTGAGCCAGCAAGATCACATAAAGACAATCTAAATTAACCAAAGGAAAAAAACTTTAAAAAAATTCTTCAAAACAAAAAAGTTCAAAATAATCATCACAATTTTAAAAATGCTCAACTTACTCACTGACTCGTATTACATGTGGTATTTCCGAATCTTCAATCTGTAATATTCTAATGGTAAATATGCTGTGACTAAAAGAAATAAACGAAGATTAAATATCATCACTCATTATTTCTGCATCCTAAATAGGAGAGGCAAGCATCTAAATCAGTATCTATTTTTTATCCTACACCAGCTATCATTACAGTACTACATCTACAACGAGCTGTCGGGTATCGCAATTTAGTGTTCCACTGTCACCCACATTAACGCTCGACTACTAAAACCAAAGAGCTCATCTTTCTTTCACTTAGCCCCAAATCCTTCAAATTTACTCTTCTCAACACTCCAACTTCTATTAATGAAGTCACTCATTTGCTTGCAAAGATGTTATTACTTATTAGAATGGTATAGTGTATAGCTAATCACTTGAATCAAGCAAAGTATACATTTGGCTTAGATGCCTAAATATTGGCTTATCTGGATTACATGTTGTCCTTAAGCCATACACGGGAGACGGGTCTTTCCCCTTTAAGAGAAAATCTGTTTTAAGGATCTCTCGGTTTAAACTTACTTCCTTTTGTCTCTCATTCTCCAATCCCTTCCATTAAAAACATCCTTCCTTAGCCCTTTGAAATACTGGCCTAACTCAGTATTTATAGTGTCTATATTCATGGAATAAGTAGAAAAAACACAGAGAAATGTCCTATGTTACAGGCAATTAAAACATTGAGCTTAGATATTCACATATAGAAAGAATAAAAATACTTCACATTGAGTGCAAATTAGTAAATTGTATGTTAGAACAAGAAATTAGTCCTGATAATCTTATGTGTTTAGTGCTCTTCAGTTTACAGAATGTTTTTATGTCTACAAATTAATTTAACATATCAGAAAACCTACTGTCTGATTTAATCTTAAATTAGTTGTATTTAAATGAGCACAGCTACTAGGGCTTCCCTAGAAGCTCAGTTGGTAAAGAATCCACCTGCAATGCAGGAGACCCAGGCTCAATCCATGGGTCGGGGAGATCCCCTGGAGAAGGAAATGACAATCCATTCCAGTATTCTTGCCTGTAGAATTCCATGGANAACTAGAATTCAGTCTTTTAGTTTGGTTAAAAAAAAAAAACAAAAAAAACACCAAAGTGTATTGTGACAGTAAATATAATTAACATTAATTTTCCAATTGTAAATATGCACATACACACACACACATACATGTGCAGGTGGAGAATTATGATGTCATTATTAAGTATTTCCTACTGTAGGGTAGTGATTTTTAAAAGGTTGGAAAAATACCATTGTGGTATACCAAATAATTCCAAGGTCTGAATACTGTTAAAAAGCAGCAGAATAATGTGAATATACACACACAGCTTTTCCTATTCCCCAATATTCAATCAATAATACTCAAGAAACAAAATACTAAACCCTTTTACCTTCAGGTTTAGTGAACATACCAAACCATATTTTCAAAGCACAAACTACTCTTACTATCTTGATACTAATAAATAGTATACAAACATTCAATTTCCAGTCTGCTTTCCTATAATAAAGCCTAGAAAGAAACTTCAAAGCAAAAAAGTAAAAAATACTCATCAGTATACCTTTTATGAAAGAATAGCCCTTTACATCTTGGGAAAGGCGCAGTGTCTTTCTCTTTTGGAACTTAGATGATACAGGAACAAACAAATCATAAATACATTCGTTGTAAATCTCAAAGAAAGATACCCACACAGAAAATTTTCTATTAATATCCATATTCATGTTCGAGTGTTCACAATCTTTCATGGATTCTTCAAACTCTGAGATACTCAAAGAGTTTGTTAGACTTCCTACAGAAAATTTAAAAAAAGATAATCACAAAATTAAATAAGATAATAGGCTATTACCTTATTATCTTCCAAGACTCCCCAGCTTGAGAAACTAAGTATCCAAATCTTCTGACTAGCAGTGTTAAAAATTTTTTGGACCAAAGCAGATAAAAATATTTGTGTTAACCGAAATTTGGCTTTTTTGTTTTGCAAATATGTTAATAAACCAAAATGAAATTAAATGTAAAAGACAAAGAAAAAAATAGTGCCACTCTTGAATTCAACATAAAAGTTAACAATCAGTAGAAGTTAACAATCAGTAACAGTTATTAAATCCAAATAAAACCTTACAGTGATTGACATTTCATATAGTTATGTACCATTTTCGAAGTATTATTGACTGTGTCATTAAAGAAATAAAATCACCAGAAGTGATTCAAAAATTAAAAGCCCTTTAAATAACTAACATCTTAAAAGTATATGAGAAAGGAAACCTTACCATAAAGAGCACCATAACTGTCATTATGCATAACAACCTGAAAAAGATTTATTAAGTTAAAAAATATTTTTAGTTAAGATTAAATAACCAGTAAACTCATTCCCTATCCAAATAAGTTACCAGCCTTTCATCTACTCAATTCAACAAACTAACAGGAAATTTGGGGAAACTATAGAAAATATTCAAAGGAATACCATCATATATAATCCCTGCCACTCAGAGGCAATTACTATTAATATCTCAATATATTCCCATCTATTCTTTTCCCTACACTGATTGCACTGTAAGCTCTCTATAAATTAAAGATTATTAACAAACATTTGGTGCCTGCATAACTGACTAGATGTGATGTGAAATTACTTAATTAAATAATACTAAGATAAACAGCATATTTTTTCTTTCTGTAATATAATTGTTCCCTTAGACTATATACCTTAATCTGAATTGGTAGATGAAAAGATATGAACTGTTTTTCAAGTTCTCACTCATAATATAGTATTGCTAAACTGCTTTGGAGAAATACATTTTACAATCAATATATGGAAGTGAAAGTGTGCATCTCATGTCATATACCTGAAACATATAATATTGTACAGCAAACTCAATAAAAAGAGATTTTAAAAAAAGAAAGTATGATCTCATGTTTTTACTATCTTAATAATTTCATAGGCAAAATAATATTTTAACTAGATAAACTGTTAGAGAAAATTTTTTTCAATATTAATGACTTGAATTTCCTCTATGAATTATCTATACAAATATCCACCAATCTCCACAAATCCTGTTAAAATACTATTTTACTTTCAGAGAGCATACTCATGGACTCTGAACTTTACTCTCCACCGAGCAACACTACTTTGAAACCCTGATTTCTAAATTATTTAAAAACAAATCCTCATCAGTGTTTTCAATATATCCAAAAGGACTGTTAATAGTTTTTAACAATCTTAGAATAAACATGTAAAAACATAACACAAAATCAAGAAGGACTAAATAGACAAGTATAACCTTATTAAAACATGTTTTAATAAAAAATTATTAAAAAGAAGAAAAAGGAAAAAACAAACAGATGAGACACATGAATTAATGTAGTAACAGATTTACAATATGTTAAATGAAACAGCAAGTTATAGACTGTCTGGATAATAAAATCTTATTTTTGTTAAATAAAAGACCATTATCCCACATACAAAGAAAAAGGAATAAAGATATATGCGACTATTTATATATGACTATATTTGCGTGTGTATATGAACTTCCCAGTGGCTCAGTGGTAAAGAACCCGCCTGCCAAGGTGGAGACACAGGTTCAATCCTGGGTCCAGAAGATCCCCTGGAGAAGGAAATAGCAACCCACTCCAGTATTCTTGTCTGAGAAATCCCATGGACAGAGGAGCCTGGTGGGCTACAATCCATGGGGTCACAAAGAATCAGACATGACTCAGCGACTAAACAACATATAGACATACATAGAAACCTCAGTACATAGATTTTTTTTTTTTTTTGGTATACTGAGAAAAAGACCAAAAAGGACATGCTCATATCTGTTAATTTAGTTTTTCTCTTTAGAAGTGAAATTATAGGAAATTTTTTTTATTTTTCATATCCTCTTGTTTAGATTGTGTATATACACATTACTTCTACAAATAGAAAAAGGAATTTTTAAAAATTCTATAGAAAGTTGCTGTTTCTACAACAACCTAAAATGATTAAAGAACATTTACATTTGTTTTGTTTAAACATTTCAGCTGTTTGTACAATACAAAATGAAGAAACTTCTTCAAAAAAGCTTTTAATCATAAAGAAAAGACAACAACCACAACAAGATATTTCAATATAGGCTGAAACAAACTGAAGAGCCAATAAAAGGTCACAATTATGTGTATTTTACCTGCTAAAATACTCCCATACCTCTTTAATTTGCCGAAGTAATGCACTTTTGCTAGCAACTTCTTCTTTCTCTTGGTCTGGTGATAACCGTAAGTATTCTCTGGACCTATGTGGTTTAAGGTTCATCTTTGTATACAGTCTCTCCTGAAGACTATCAAATAATACATTCAAAGTTCGAGGAAGAATGCCAGTATTTTCTTCTGTGCCTATGACAAGAATTTGTGTTTTACAGTCTCTCAAAGTACTAAGAAAGAGTAAAGAAACATTGTTGAACTACCAAGACTCCTTTTATACCACCAATAGGCAAGAGTAAAAAGCTAAGACAAAAAGTGAGAAAACCTGCAGATTACTCAGTGTTCTATCACTTTAGTTTTCATTGTATAACTGACATTTATCAACTATTAGCCTGATGTAAAACCTGAAATTTTACATTCAAATCAGGTTTTAAGACTGGCCAGCATTCATTATCACAAAGTATAAAAGTAATATAAAATATAAAGTGTTTCCCTGGTTTTCTACGCTTAATTCTTTGTTACATCAGTTCTTTTTCCAAGTTTTCATCACCATGTAATTCTCTATCATATGGGTAAAGTAGTTTCACAAATTAAGTCAATCTGATTTAAAAGACATGGGCAATACACATTCAATATGCTTACTATTAAAAACAGAGCAAATCTGCAAGGCAATGGAAACATAACTATAAGTATTATGAAAATGACCAAATATTAGGGCTTCCTTTTTTCTTTCTAGCAAAAATAAAACCATTTACCTTGAAACGTGTAAGTTTTTCCGGAATTGGTTAGCCCATAAGTAAAAATCAGTCGACTCTGTCCTTTTAAGAGGTCTTTAACTGGCTGCAGAATGCAACCCTGGAAGAATTCCTTCTGTGTAGTTTCTGGGCCAAAAACCTAAACAAGCATTTTTTAAAACAAGCCTTTTTAGAAAATTCAAGTTAATAGTCATGAGTTCTACCCTTTAATATTTTTAATATTTCAAAGATCTGTCTTACAAGACTCATTCTTAAAATAGCTGACATATTCCCAATCCCCACAGATACAATTGCTAGTTTAACTACTGCCAAAAGTTTTCACGATAGAAATCTGATTCAGGCAATAACCTTTCATCTAAATTTTTAACAGAACATTTCCACCAACCACAAAGAAATTGTACAATTTTTACAATGATTTATTCACTTCCAATTACATACTTACACACCTAAAATTTGAGCCCTACCATTGAGGAAAAAATACCAGAACCTAAGATCTAAGTTTCATAAGCACAAGGTGTACAGAGTTCATTATATACAATTAGATAGCAATTTAGCTTAAGAAAAAAAAAAAACGTTCAGTTTCATATGGGTACTTACCTTGGAAAAACTGAATTTCTGTGCCATCTGCCCTGAGCTTTTCTCACTTAAACGACCAAGGGTACACTGAGGCTCCTTCAGCACAACAGTCTGTGAATCCAGAATATACACACAGCCCTAGAACACAAATAATTAAAAACCCACAACAAGTAAATTAAAATGATGATATTGTGCCCACTTAATGGAAATAAATTATAAAATTAAATTCAGCACAAACCTCAGACTCATGCTCTTTTTCTGGCTGCGTGAATGGTCTTACTCGAAGACACACTTGGAGATAATCTTTAGATTCGGAACTGTTTGCCTTAAAAAGGAGAAAATATTTTAAAGATATAAAATGTAGATTTTCAGGTATCACCTTTCTTTAAAGTGGCTGATTGTCATAGAATAATCTGAGATTATACAAAACCTCTAAGCAAACAGTGACTCTTCTGTTTTCATCCATTTTATATTTGTTTAAAGAAAAACAAATCTGTTTTAAAAAAACAAAAACGCCAGAAAAGATTCAATTTCTCCTGCCTTCTATATTTATATTTAAAGTTTACAATATGCTTCTTTGGCATAAAATCGTAACTTTTATAACCAATACAAATAACAGGGCTGAAAGTCACTAAAACACAGAAGAATAGAGTAAATCACAAGTAACCAGAATACTCAACTAACCCAAATGCTCAATACCATCATGCACTTTTATTTACTTATTTATTTGGTGTATTATATTCTCCTTACTGCTTCTTTGAGAAAGGAATTAGCTTAATTCATTTTTTAAAAAATAATTTTAAAGAAATGCTTTATATTAAAAAGTAAAAAGAAAACAATTACATGAAAAACACAATTCACCAAACAAGACACAAGAAGAAAATTTGAGTAACTCTATACCTGTTAAAGAAATTCAACTTATATTCAAACAAAATAATCCTATATAGAAACTCCAAACCCTCCAAAAAGCAATACCATTTGCAATAACCTGGCAGTTCATTAGTAAATTCTTTAAAACATTTAAGGTTATAATCACACAAATTAAAGACAAACTAACAAAATGGAGAGAGAACACCTTTCAATTAATTTTGAGTTTGACAAAACCTGAATACCACATCCTGACAAAGATATCCTCAGAAAAAAAATTACAGAACAATATCCCTAATAATTATAAGATAAAGGCAAAATGTTCTCCAAAGAGTTACACTATCTTCTATTCCCACAAACAGTGGATAAACATGTCAGTTGCTCTGTAAACTCACCAGAGTTTAAACTGTGGATGGTGTGGCTAGTCTACTTCATTATCGCCCTTCTACTGGGTGTGAGGGTGGTATCTGACTGTGGTTTTAATTTATGCATTTCCCTTATAGTGAAGAAGAACTAAAAGAGCTTCTTAATCAAAGTGAAAGAGAGTGAAAAAGTTGGCTTAAAGCTCAACATTCAGAAAACTAAGATCATGGCATCCCGTCCGATCACTTCATGGCAAATAGACAGGGAAACAATGGAAACAGTGAGAGACTTTATTTTTTGGGGGGCTCCAAAATCACTGCAGATGGTGATAGCAGCCATGAAGTTAAAAGACACTTACTCCTTGGAAGGAAAGTTATGACCAACCTAGATAGCATATTAAAAAGCAGAGACATTACTTTGCCAACAAAGGTCCGTCTAGCCAAGGCTATGGTTTTTCCAGTAGTCATGTATGGATGTGAGAGCTGGAATATAAAGAGAGCTGAGCACCGAAAAATTGATGCTTTTGAACTGGGGTGTTGGAGAAACCTCTTGAGAGTCCCTTGGACTGCAAGGAGATCCAACCA